AAGCAACTGCGCGACACCTTCAATAGGCGAAGGGCTGGCCCCGTGGGCCGAGCCCCTGAGAGCTTCATCCACCACAGAAAAGGTCTCATGTGGAGTAGCCCCAGAGGTAGCACAGGGGAGGCCGCGGCCATAAGGCCCAGAAGTCTACGGCAGGTGCTCACGGAAACATGCTGGCCTAGTGCAAAACGGGACAGACATGTCACCAGACTGGAAATCCGTGCAGGAGCCAAACGGGCCTGCATAAGAACCGAGTCCATGCGTACCCCCAAGAAAACCGTGTTCTGAGCTGGAGTAAGAACGCTCTTCTCCGTATTCAACCTCAAACCGAGAGACTGAATATGACGGAGGACAATGTCCCTGTGGTGAGTCACCAACTCTCTGGAGTGGGCTAAAAGGAGCCAATCGTCCAGGTAGTTGAGTATATGGATGCCCTGGAGCCGCAGCGGGGCCAGAGCAGCATCCATACACTTTGTGAACGTCCTTGGCGCTAGAGCGAGGCCAAAGGGGAGGACCCTGTACTGGTACGCTTTTTCTCCAAAGGCGAACCTGAGGAACTTCCTGTGTCGCCGTACGACCTGGATGTGGAAATAAGCATCCTTGAGGTCTATCGTCACGAACCAGTCCCCCAGCCGGATATGAGATATGATGGCCTTCAGCGTCAACATTTTGAATTTTCCCTTGTAAAGAGAGAAATTCAACCGGCGAAGATCTAGTATCGGCCGCAGGCCGCCCCCCTTCTTCGGGACCAGGAAGTAACGGCTGTAGAAGCCCTGTTCGACTTCCCCCGAAGGAATCTCTTCTATCGCCCCCTTCAGCAGAAGGGATGAAATCTCCTGCTGTAGTACAGAAGCCTGAGCGGCGCTGTCGACTACAGTAGGAAAGACCCCGTTGAAGCAGGGGGGGTTGCGACAAAACTGAAGCGTGTAGCCGAGCCGAACTGTGCGAAGGATCCAAGGCGATATCCCTGGTAAACGCTCCCATTCTTGAACGAAATGTGATAGAGGGAGAGGAGTGTTGCAGTGCAAGGGACATACCTGAGGTAGGGTGTCGCGCTGGTTCCCATGGGGAGGCGCGGATGACCGTGGAGGAGAGCGCTTGGCGTCCTGACACGTACTGGGGGGTACCACCACCTGGATAGAAGTAACTGGGTCCGCCTGCTCCAGAGGAAAACGAACTGTGCCTCCGAGGAAGCGATTGGCGGGTGTAACGTGCACCGGGAGCGAGGGGAGAAAGCAAGACGCGTCTCCTTCCTCCTGCGCCGGACTGGGTGAAGAGAGTGAAACAGGACCTGCACTTCGAAACACGCTGGGTGGCGAAGGTGACAAGGTTGGATGAGGAGAGCCGGGTGGAGGAGGGCAGAAACGCTTGCGCGGTCTGTCCCAACCTCGTAGATCTGGTGAGGCTCTCCTCCTTCTGACCTGCGGGTCAGGAACGGCTCGAGGAGGCTGGAGCGGCCGATTTGTTGGACCGCTTCAGCTGAAGGCGCTTGTGAGGGCGCTGGCGGGGAAATGGACGACCTCGGGCTCCCCAGACCGTAGTTGGAGGGTGGTGAGCCGGGTCCCTCCTGCTAGTAGGGAATTCAGCCCTATGAGCAGAGCGTTCTCGGGTTTGAGAAGGGGAAGGGTTGGAGTCTCTTGGCCCTCTGACCCTCCTGGGCATAAACTGCCTGAACGCGGCCGACTGAGACTTAGCGGCGCGGAACTTCTCAACCACCGTGTTGACCGCCTCCCCGAAAAGACCTGAGAGGGAGATAGGGGCATCCAGGAGGAAACTCTTATCCTTGTCTCGGATCTCCGTGAGATTCAACCAGAGGTGGCGCTCTGCAGCAACCGAGCCCGCCATAGAGCGACCAACAGTCCGAGCAGTGTGTTTGGTGGCTCTTAGGGCCAGATCTGTGGCTTTGCGAAGCTCTTTGACAGCTTCGGGCATCAGTCCCTCTCCTTCATCCATGTCCTTCAAGACGTCCGCTTGGTAGGCTTGAAGGATGGCCATGGTATGCAGGGCCATGCCTGCTTGACCAGCCGCCATGTAAGACTTCCCAATAAGGGAGGAAGTAGTCCTACAAGCCTTGGAAGGAAGAAGAGGACGCGCCTTCCAGGACGGTGCAGACGACGGGGCGAGGTGGTTAGCCAGCGTGTCCTCGACCGCTGGAATAGCGGAATAACCCTGCTCCACAAAACCCACAAGGTTGGTGAAGTCAGCGGCTGCCGCGTTAGTTAGGCGTGCGGAGAAAGGCTGCTTCCAGGATCTGGAGATCTCGTGATGCAGATCGCTGAAAAAGGGCAGCTTTCTTCGCTCTGGCCTAGAATTAGGGCCACGTAGGAACCTCTCGTCGAGTTTGGACGATTGAGACTCGCGGGGCTCATCAGGCCAGTCAATAGAGAGCTTCTCTGTAGCGCGCGACAGCACGTCAATAAGCTCAGTGTAGGCCGGAGTAGGCCGCGCATCCTGGCCGCTAGGCGGGATAACGTCATCAGCCAAAGCAGGCCCGAAATCCTCGGAGTCGGAGGCTGCAGTGTAAATCACGTCATCCAGACCGAAAGAAACCGATTCGCGGGCTCCCGGGCTGGGACATAAATAATCATGCGCGAATTCAACCGCGCCGCGTGCGTGCTCGGGAGAGGGAGGGAGAGAAAGGGCGAGGCCCGTCTGCTCATACTCAATATCCTCGAGCTCAACATCCGAGCCCCAGGCCGCGGATCCACGAGAGGCCTCAGCAGTCTCCGGAGCGCGACGGGGGGGAACGAATGACTCCTTCTCAAAAACCGCGAGTCTAGAGCGGAGGGTTTTGAGAAGGAGATTGTCACAAAATTTACATTTCGACAATCCCAATACAGCCTCACGCGCATGCGAAAAACCCATACATTTAACACACTTACTGTGAGGGTCGTCGTTCGAGATAAAACGAACGCATGGCGGAGAGCAGCGTCGATAATCCATGACACTTCACTGTAAGGAGAACAGAGTTCCACTTATACCAGTCGCTGAAGTGTCGAGACGAAAGCTGAAGTTGAATTTGAAGAATTCGGGCTCAGAAAAACCGAACGAAGGGCGAGATGTGACCGCTTCGTGAAGGCAGAGAAATCTGAGGAGAAGATGGCGCGCGCGTTCATCATGCTACGATGTAAGAGCGTCGGGGCGGAGCCAGCTTTGCGCGAGCGCCATCAGCCAATGAATTGGCGTGATTCTATAGGGCTTCAGGCAATCGGCACATCCAGAGGATATCCCACTGCGCTTTCCGCAGCGTTGAGTGAACCTATGAAAGAGAACCCCAAATTCAAAATTAGAATATTGTGAAAAGGTTTTCATATCTGTAATCCATAATCATCACAATTATAACAAATAAAGGCTTGAAATATCTCTCTTTCCATGTAATGAGTCTATATAATATTAGTTTCACCTTTTAAGTTGAATTACTGAAATAAATGAACTTTTGCACCATATTCTAATTTTTCGAGTTTCACCTGTAGAACCTTTATATTCTACAGTATCATAAAGAAAAAAATTAAATTACATGTTAAACATGAAAGTATTATTATGTAATCATTTAAGAGCTTTAGAACCTTTCTGGCATAAAGTGTTCTTTAAAGTTGAGTCAAGAACTCTCGAGTTCTAAATGGAATCCCACGGAACATTATTTCCCAGAGCTGTTGTGGTGTTGATGTGTTCTGAGATCAGTGTGTGACGAGTGACGGTCTCAGCTTCACGAGGCATCTGTTCTGAATCCTGATCCTCGTCTCGGTTGCCGATATCTAGAACGACTCCACCGCGACGCGAGGGAGTCTGAGAAAGCAGCTGGTCGAGGGCATGTGTATTATTAACCAGCAGGGCATTCTGGGAAAGATCTGCTCGCTGAATTCCCTCTGTATCAAACTAACCATCTTGTACACTCTTAAAAATAAGGGTTTTTTTCACAGTGATGCCATAGATAGAGGAACCATTTTAGCTCCCAAGTGAACATTCTTAAAGTCCCCCTGTGGAAAATCCAGCTTTTGATGTTGTTTATGTGTCTATGTGGTGTTTTTAATATGCAAACCATGTGTAAATTCATAAGTATTTTCTGAGTATTTTCTGCTTAAAACTGCAGTGAACCAAAGACAGTCTCAAAAACACGGTTTGAAATCACTGGTGTTTCTGACATCACAAACGACCTTGTAACCAATCAGATCAACCTGTGATCGTCAACCAGTGGATCTCTGAGCTGAGTGAGTGAGTGGAGGCGGGGCTCATTTGCATATTCATAGAACCACGCATACTAAATGAGGCGAGGGTGTCGAGTTACATTCAAGATATTTTAAGGCATGAAGACATTTTTTCTTGGGAAAAAAATCGTTTAAATATGTACTTTTGGTGATCAAAGATGAGCTTTATGGGATAAAATGATTGACTGCAGGAACTGCTTGAATGTTGATTATTCTCCTCATATTCTCCATTGTTGCGGCTCCTCTCTTCCCAGTCTGTCAGTAACGCTCTGTTTACTTCCTGTCTCTATGAAGCCCCTCCTTCTGAAAAGCACACTGTGCTCTGATTGGTCGGCTGGATCAGTGTTTTGTGATTGGTCGAGCGCTTCGAGTGTGTTTGGGAAATGTCCCGCCCCTTACCATAACCGCCAGTTTAACACACTACTAACTAACTCAACCAGGCCCCGCCCCTTTATTCTGCGTATGAATTATTATAATGAGGAATATTGTGACGTGTTCGTTCCCGGGAGAAACTCAAGACTACAATGGAGGCGTTTCAGAAACACTGACACTGATATAGAGAAGAACGTTTTCATCCTCAAACAGCAACATTACACACTAAAGAAATATTTAAAAATCTAAAGAACGTTTTTCCACTATAAAAACCTTACGTTTGTTCATGGATCCAAAAGCCAATAAAGAAGCTTTATCTTTAGGAGTGTAGAGACACTCTTTAGTTTGACTAGTAAATACGGCAGATTAGGGAAGTAAACGGGTTGTGTGTGTGTGTGTGTGTGTGTGTGTGTGTGTGTCACTCAGGCTCGTGTTCTGGCCACTATCGGCATCACTCGAGGACTCGGCGATCACGACCTGAAGGTTCACGACTCTGACATCGCTATCAAACCCTTCCTCTTGTGTTCTCCCGAGGTTTGTACTCACCTTACACACATACACACACTCCAGATGACTTCATTACTTCACTAGCTAAGAAAGACTATTTTTGGACATAGCACCATGGTATTATCATGTTTTTACTGTATTCTTTTGTTGTTGTTTTTAATATAATGCTATAGAGTGTGTCAGGGTTATTATCATTAACTAAAAATGTTCATGACTTGAAACAAAATAAACATTAACTGCATCAAAAAAAAAAATATTATACAGTATATACATTTGTACTTATTGTCAGCTACAGCATTTCTCATTTTCATTTAGTTCAAGTTGAAGTACTAATATAACTAGCATGAAATAAATAATAATAATAATAAAACAAAATAAAAACTATATAGACATGTTTTTAAAAAGTGTCAAAAACACAACAAAATGACTAAAATGAAAAAAGAAAAGAAGAAAATAGTATAATAGTATATCAGTGATACTTACATTTACCATGGTATTAGTATGTTGTTTGTAAAAAGTACCATGGTATCACTGTGTGTTTTAATCATGGCATTGTTTCTTTGGGAGAGGGTAAATATGTTGAATTTGTACCATGGTAACACCAAGCTTTTTTTAATATCGTTTTTTAAACGAGGTACCATGTTATTATTTTGCATATGGTAACATGGGTTACCATACTGTGGACATTTACCACGGTATTACCATGTTTTTGGATGCGTTTTGCATGGTACTATCATGTTTTTTGGACATTTACTATGGTATCACCATTTCCCCCGCTAAAGGCATCATGGGAAGGCCTTGTTTCTCAGATCTTGAAATTGCGGTTGTCAGTAAATATGAAATGTTTCTGTATCAGCATCTACTGATATAAAAGTGCTCTGGGATTCCCATCGGGTGCCGACACCACGGCACTTCTGCAAGGCTTTCTGGCTCAGAACTCGGCTCTGTTTTGCTGATTAATGTTTCTATACGTGATATAAGCTCAGATATGGAGATAGTGCGCTGTATATCAGTACCTCAGCCACTGCTCGTGTTTATGAGTTAAAGCGGCAGATCCTCCAGTGACACGAGTCTCTCCTCTCCTCAAATCTTCTGAAGCTCTCTTGATCTTTAATTCACACGCTGTGTAAAGTTCATCCACGGTTCGTCCCGCCGTCTGCACTCTCTCTCTTCTCTTTGATCTGTTTTTCTTCCTCCTCCTCCTCGATGCACTTTCCCCCCGTAATATGCCTGTGCCTCGTGTGGAACTCAGTCAACTGTGCTCTGGTGAGATCGAGTCGCTCGTCTCCTGTCTGTTGCACACACACTGGGTCAAAGGTCGAGGATGGGTCACGAGGACAACCACACACTGGCATCCAATATGATTTCTATCCATCTGTCTATCTTTCTATGTTATATATATATATATATATATATATATATATATTATATATTAACCCTATATATAATATGTTTTGAAATTAATCAGTATCTATTTACCTGTGCATGTGCTTTTCTCTATTTTACATCTAATGTTACCTAATCATCTTAGTTTTTTTTTTTTTAGTTAATCATTTTTTAAATAATTTATTTTGTTTGGTTACAACTGACTTTACCCTGTTCTTGCCAAGAAAATAAGCTTTCTGATAACAAACAAACAAACAAACCAATAACTAAATAAATCTAATGCTCACTTAAATTAAAAAGTTTAGATTTTTTTTTTTTTAAATACTAAAAATGTCCATTTATAAAATCATAAAGTAGTCTATCACTTATTAGACAACATTTCTTAGTATATTAAAATCTTAATATTAAATAAATTCTATTATTGATAATAATCACACTAAACACTTGTTAAATAGCTAACTCGTGGGCTGTTTCAGTTGTCAAATATAAATTCACTGATTTACTAATTATTGGCACATGAAAGTAGGATTTATTAATGTTTGTGTTCTACAGGTGAAGGTCTATAACCTGTCTCAGCACGAGCACGGCGCTGATGATGTCATGGTGCTGGCTACAGATGGACTCTGGGACGTGTTGTCCAATCAGGAAGTGGCAGAGGCGGTGTCTGGTTTCCTTGGAAACTGTGACCCTGATGACCAGCACAGGCAGGTTCCTCAGTTTTGGTTGAGTATCAACTATCTATGAAGGAGACCACGATGGCCTGTTTTTGGTTAACGTGGAGGAGAATGAGGTTTGGCTTTTAATATGAGATGATGAAACTTAAAGTGATGTCATAGAAGAACGTTCTAAAAAGAATGTTCCGACATTTTGTGGAAAATAAAGGCACTGATGGTTCCATTTAGAACCTTCAACGATTGAGAAAATGATGATTGAACGTCACATTTGAGTGAACTATCCCTTTAATTGTGTTAGACTGACCTGAAGAGCGTCTCCGTTGTGTTTCAGGTACACTATGGCAGCTCAGGACCTGGTGATGAAGGCCAGAGGAGTCTTGAGGGACCGAGGATGGAGAATCGCTGGAGACCGGCTGGGCTCTGGAGACGACATCTCGGTCTTCATAATTCCTCTAATGAACCGCAGTAAACAGCCTCAGCCGAGCTGACCAATCAGGAGGCAGGGCGCCTACCGAATGGGACTGACCCCGTCTCGAACACACCGCTCGGATGCTCACACAGCGTCTTGCTGGAGTTTGTGGAACTCGCTCTGCGTTTGAGCTCATTTACAACACGGACATTTGCTTTTAAGACTTGAAAGTCAACATCTACTGACTTTGAAGACCCACGTCAGCGTTCCCGACCTCCGCGTGGGAAGTTGGGATCAGTATATAAGTTCTAACTTTGCACAATGACTAAAGCTCTTTGAAGCTCTCGTGGACAGATGCGCACCCACCGCAGTTTGTTTATCCGCTCTCATCTGGCAGCTAGGCGGAAACAACCGTGTTTTGTTTGTCCTTTCGGGATATTCATTTATCCTTTGAATGTTTAGTTTGCGGTTTTCCTTCTTTGCGTTCCTTGGAAAAAATCAAAGCAATTCTGGCTGTTATTTGTCCATGCTGTTTTGAAAGCTAAAAATCAGAGCTGTTTTGTTTCTCTCGTGCGCTGTAAACGTGCAATAGCTAAATCATGCCGACTCGATCTTCCACTCAGTCAGATTTTTAGGATGTGTCAGTGGAGAAGTGTCTTGTTCAGCGAGCTTTACCTTTGCGTTCTGTCCGTGAATTAACACCTACCTGCAATCTGTTGTTCAGGCCTCCCGTGTGGAGGTGCGCGGAGGTCTGACTAGCGCTACATCATGTTCACAGTGGCACCTTCCTCTTCTACAGCACAAACCCGCTGTGAGCATTTGGAAAGGCTTTCGTATACACACACACACACACACACTCATAATGTGCAAACACACATATACACACTCCCCAAGAGAGTGGCCATCTGGTCAGCACAACCTGAGTGCGACCAAAACAAGACTAATTTGGCCATAGATTCAGCTGTGTGTGTGTGTGTGTGTGTGTGTGTGTGTGTGTGTGTGTGTGCAGCTCTCTAACACTTTAGCGCAGTCGTTTGTGTGGGTGGACGGCACTGCAAGGGCATCACATGCTTACTAAAGGCACATTCTGGGAAGTGCACACACATGCACTGCAACAATGATTCATACACTGCTTATGTGGCTCCATTAATGCTTATTGAAATGGCCAACAGATTTTTTTAATAAAAACTCACTTAAGATGTTTCTAAATGTTTCTAAAATAACAGGAATAATTTCATATGTTTACCCAAATGATGTACTCCCTGTGTAAACCTAAAAAAAATCCAGTTATTAAAAGAATAAAGTCGTAGGTTCACACCAAACTAAACATGTTGTCATTATTGACCATGGCTTCAAACTTATTCAAATTCAAATTTGCGTTGCATTTTTCCAAGCGCCGAATTTGTTTTTGATTTGTGAGCTGGAGATTTTCAGTGAGTAATGATTTAGTTTTGATTAAGGCCCTGTCCACACGGACACGGGTATTTTTATAACCGTGACTTTTTTTACGCGGTTCGGCCGTTCGTCCACACGAAAACGCACTGAAACCGAACATTTTTGAAAACCCCTGCCAGGGTGAGGATTTTCAGAAACGCCGGTTACAGTGTTGTCTTGTAGACAGTGAAACCGGGGTTTTTGCCTTGCGACGTCAGAGTGTGCGCCGTTATCCGCTGTGTTTGACGTCAGATTTGCGCTTCTGATTGGCCAACGTGGCTTTAGGGTTAATGTTTATATCGCCGCCTGCTGGCATGGCATGCTCTTGACCGCGCTTGATTGCGTGTTTTTGCGTTTTCATGTAGACGGAGACCGACCATGTGTGGACGGGATTTTTTTTAAAAACGCTGTAGGAAAAACTCCGGTTATAAAAATACCCGTGTCCGTGTGGACAAGGCCTGAGAAACGGACCATAATTGATCATGTGATTTAAAGGAGTAGTTCACTTTTAAAAAAACTTTTGCTGATAATTTACTCACCCCCATGTCATCCAAGATGTCCATGTCTTTCTTTCTTCAGTCGAAAAGAAATTAATGTTTTTGATGAAAACATTCCAGGATTTTTCTCCATATAATGCACTTTGCTGGGCACCAAACGGTTCAAGGTCTAAATGACCGTTTCAGTTCAGCTTCAAAGGGCTTTAAACGATAGCAGACGATGAATAAGGGTCTTATCTAGAGTCATTGACTCGAAAAAAGATTCGTTCATTTTGATGTACGAGTTCGAACAGGAGAGTTCGCAAGGCGAGCATTTGTGCCTATAAAACTTTACCTTTTTATTTATTTTTGAAATGAGCGATCGTTTCGCTAGATAAGACCCTTATTCATCGTCTGGTATCGTTTAAAGCCCTTTGAAGCTGCACTGAAACGGTCATTTAGACCTTGAACCGTTTGGTGCCCAGCAAAGTGCATTATATGGAGAAAAATACTGGAATGTTTTCATCAAAAACCTTAATTTCTTTTCGACTGAAGAAAGAAAGACATGGACATCTTGGATGACATGGGGGTGAGTAAATTATCAGCAAAAGTTTTTTAAAAAGTGAACTACTCCTTTAAGAAGAGTCTACTTTTATGGTTTTAAAGGACTTTTAAGGCAGGTAAACCATTTTGGCGCGAATGAAACCAGTGCAGTGAAGGATAGCCGCAGTCTTTGATGTTGATCGTTAAGTCATATAAAACACTAGAATGAGTTTAAAAATACTCAAATTAAATGTGAGCTTAAGACTGTAAGACAGAACAGCACTTTAATGGCTTATAATGTTTCATTTGCATAATATCCCAGCAAGCAACAGCCGTCATGTCACCGTCTCGTTAACTATAGACCCGATATAGTCCGGCTAAGTAACACACTTCTAGCGAAAATAACCTTGAATTTGGTTACATGTCGTTGTTGCCAAAATAACTTGCGCGATGTTTGATATTCCATAATGTAAGCAAAGTAAACAGTGATTTCAAGGTGTTTGGTTTCATTTCTTCACTCATTTCATATCTTTATCTAATTGATGACTAGTGTATTCTTGGGCGATGGTTTACCCGTCTATTAAAGTTTCACTGACAGCCCTTGTTTTAGTCTAGACGTCTGGGCTGTGTTTGGACTGCCATTAGACGTCTTTTAAACGTAAAATTGCTTTGGCATCCATCTTGAATAAGTCATTTCTGGTGTTTAGTCTATTTTGTAATGGGAACCGACACCACGTTTTTTAGTGTTGAGGAAATCATACGGATTTGGGGGAGTGAAGGAAGAGATTGCTTTTAATTTTTTGGTAATTTACCCTTAAAGATTCTGTCCAACAAAGAAAGATGATCTGCTAATTACATGTAGTAATTTTGGCGAACATCCTCTGAGAATAAAGCCTTCCTTGGCGATGAAGGAACTGTCTGTAGCCTTCAGTCTTATGATCTGATTCTGAAAGTGAGTTGAAGTTCACATATTTGACAAATGAATGGATCTGTCAACAGCTGAGGTAATAATATCCTCAGAGTTTGAAACGCCTGCAGCGGATCTAAACCCTGTTCGAACATGAACGTCTTTAAAACACTCGAGGTCATGAACCTGGTTAGAAGTGAAATACTGAAGGATTTTCTCAGATTTACACGAATGGCTTTGAGCCTACGTGCTGTATTCACTGCATGAATGACGTCAGCACATTATCTACACTAATCATGTACTTCCGCAATAAAACCCAGTTAACTGCGACCACCTCCAGCACATGCTCCAGATCAAGAGATACAGAGGTTCAGAAATAGCCATTTGCGCAGTTGCAGTTAACAAACATACGATGTTAATTCAGATTTGTGTTTATCAATATTGTTTTACCTCTAATACCATACACGTGTTGATGATATATTAGTACTTCCCTTTTTTGGGACAAAACTGTAATGTTAGGATTCAGATCAAGATAATACATGTGCAAATACACCCCCATAGTCATATTTCTAAGTTCTAGTTTAACGGAGATCTTCAGGGTTAAATGAGGATAACCCTTTCATGACATCAGAGCACATCATTCAACACACCACATGTGAGTTACCTTGACTGAACTTTTTCTACAAGGATTCAATTATTAACCCACGTACACTGGATGCACGTGCTCAGGTTGAGTAGTCCAAACCATCCCAGGTGTCGGTCGGTACCACGTGACGTCAAGATCGATGATTCTACGGTAGTGGGCAGAAAAAGCCACGTCACAGCTCTCTTCATAGCAACAGTAGAGTATGACCTACGTGTATTAGCCATCCCAAGGGCAAAATCAAGCATCTATTAAAATTAATAACCCAACCCGTCGTGTTCCCGAGGGTAATATCTGCTTTTCTGCTGTGCTCGACAAAAAAAAACTGAAGAAAACTGGGGCATATGGCCAATCCCCATTAATTCATAACTCAGTGGCAAAAAGAACAGATCATTAAAAACCCCCCAAAGATAAATAGAAGCAAAAAAGACACTTAAGACAGCAATGTGTTTCATAAGATACACGTTTATTGAATTTAAATTAGACTTACCATGGAGCACACGTTTACAACTCTCAGAACAATTTTAACATGCACACAACTATGACTATATCACACACATATCACATAAAAACATATTTTTCTCCAGACGATTTGGATCCTAAAGCGAATTCCAGCTTGGGAAGAGTGTAACCAGCACTGGCAAGGGAGTAGCTTGCGCAGTCATCTCCATAACGGGCAATGTCACATCCCGACCAACAGCACAAACTACTACCTCAGCCAGTGCACGGATAAATCGCTTTCATGACCCGTAGAACGCAGGGAATTCGAATCCGTTTAAAAAGAATTCCAAGAATTCGCGCTGAACGTTCCAGAGCGCGCGAAGATTCCGAGGTGAATGGTCGTAGTACTCGTCTCGTGAGCGGGCTACACTCCCTTCAGCTGCTCCGTCATTGGCTGGGAGCGCAGCCAATGGGGTGTCAGAGGGACACCGCCCACGACACACACACCCCCAAAAGTGGCCACGCCTCCGGCATTCTTCAGCCAATGGCGCAGTCCTGACTTCACACGAGACTTTGAACACGTGATTTTGAATGAGTTGATTTTTTTTTTGATTTACACTCACTTTTACTTACTGTAAAGATCTCATCCCTTAAATTACACAATCTTCTGAAGGTATTTTTTGTTGATAACCCCCTTGGGTAATATTACATTGATTATTTAATTCCCTTTGTTCTTTAGGTTTATGGTGTTTACTGTTTGCTGCTATTTGGACTTTTATTAAAATGTAATAAGATGTGTCTTTTTGAGGTTTGTTTGGTATTTTGTATGTTTCTTTAAGCAATAACAATAATAAAAAACTCACTGTAAAGAAGTACTGAGAGATAAACCTTTATCTGTCACCGCCCTTTCTAATAAAAGACATGAAAAGGATCATTCAAACTTAAATGGTTGTAATTTAAGAATGCTTTGTAATATAGACCTAAGCTTTAGAGAAGACATTCAGCAGATTATTACTGAAAAATGTAAGTATGAAAAAGTTATGGAAGCTTAAATGTACTGTACATCAAATGTACTGCACACATTTTTTATATATATATTTTTTATATATATATATATATATATATATATATATATATATATATATATATATATATATATATATATATATATATATATATATATATATATATATATATATATATATATATATATAATAATTTACCATAGTAATTTAGGGTACAAATAATTTTGTTATATATATATATATAACAAAATTATTTTTACCCTAAATTACTATAAAATCAAAGCCATAATATCTAACCAAGTTTTGTTCCAAATTTGAAGTTGATTTCACAAAAATTGAAGTTCCCATGAGATTTAGTGTACCAAAAACATTCCATATAATTTTTTTAATGCATTCTCCTGTAACACATTAAAAAAATTAGTCCAAATATCACTTCTATCACAAAATACAGAACCTTGAGACCTCAGATGATATGCGTTTTGTCATGATTAAAGGCTTTTGATTACAAAGCAGTTAAAATAATTTAGTAATATGAAACCTAACTCCGCCCACTAAGGGAGGGGTCCGCAAAAAGAATTTAGAGTAAACATCCAATTTCAAAACAGTTTTCAACAGATGAATTCAGAGTTCGTAAGCTTTCAAATGATACCTAATTTTCTAAAATATTTGATATTTGAAATAAAGAGCGCCACGTGCCCCAAATTACGTATTTCGTACAAGCATTTTCAGATAATAAAAAAATAATTCAGTAAAATATATTAGAAAATGGATAGTTCTGGTCCTGGATGCTGATTGGTCCATCGTACTGAGGCAAAATGGCTTCCTCCAAAACCATAAAAACCAAATTGTCTTCACTCTTGAGTTAACGACACGAATGAGAATCCAATCGTTTGTTTGTTTTTGGCTGTAAATCAAAAGCAAGTGATTCTTTTTTTCAGGATTAAGATTTTAGGTAAAATGTAAATGGGAATTTTTTTTTTTAATCAGTTTTTGCCTTGTTTTAAATGGTTTTGTGGTGAAATAAAATTTTCAACGCTCAAATATTCTCAATTAATATGGTATCATAAGCTGCAAGCATGCATTATAATAATAACATAGTTTGAAGTGGTGTTAGACGCAGTATGGCGAGTCAAACACAGGACAGGAGCTGGAGCGTCAACGATCTTCTAAACCTACTGGAAGTGAAATATGTTTAATGAATAACCAGATGAGCGATACGTTTGATGTTCATAGAACTGTACCATTTATTATTGTACACACACCGGGTTCAACCCTTCTCAATGCGGCTAAAGATGACATGGAATGTTACAGTAACATCTTGCATAAAATTCATTGCTGTTGAGAAAATGTCACACAAAAAAAAGACCATCCTTCATGTATTTATTACGATGTTTCCGCTCTCTCTTTTTAAATTTTTTTTTTTTGGATTTGATTTTTTTAATCCAAATACGTTATTCTTAATTACATCTTTAACACTATCACCAAACACTGTACATTAAGGAGGGGTGGGGGGGGGACCAGAAAACCCATAAAAACAACAAACACTGCAAATTTTCCGTAGCAGTTAATACATCGTTAAAGTCGGCCAATCAGAGTCTACCGTCAGCTCGTATTAGAAGAAGCTTAGAATGATGGGATTTGGAGCTGTCAATCAACAGTTGCCATGACGATGGAGTCCTCGCGCGTGGTGTATGAAACAGTCACATTCATGTTTGCGGTGGAATAAAAACGTTCAGTCACGATTCGCCGTTCTGCACTTTGGAGACGGGCGGCTGCATGAAGTCTTTGAAGGGCCCGAGGGCGTCTCTGAGGGCGGAGCTCACTTCAGGAGACGAGCACGTGATGCACTCCACCAGCGTCGGGTACAGCGCAATCACCTGAGCCCACACGTTCCCATCCACTGACGCCCGGACAGGGAAGAGGAAGAGGAAGAGATGAGCACAAACAAAGATGCAAAACTTAGAGCTTGCCTGTGTTCAGGGCTTGACATTGACAACTCCGGCGCAAAATGAAGCTTTGGTGTAATAACACATTGGTACCGAGTCGACCGTTCTCTGGGATTTGTTTTCATAATAATCGAATGTAAAGAGTTTTATCTCTAAAAACTGTTTAGCGTATAACGCTAGTATATAGGGCATAGAGTAATGAAAATAAAAATCACTAGGTAATACCACAAATAAGGCTCAAAATAGCCCCACACTAACACAATAGCATAATGAGGGTCCCTACATGCAAACCGAAGCATTGAGAACTTTATAAAGACAGTCCACTTCGTGTATACCGGCAGGAGCCATCTTGGAGAACAGTCTCGACTAGTCAAACCACGAACGACGTGCTAAGTGAGCTGAACTGTATGAATGGCGTTCGTGGTTTGATTAGTCGAGACTGTTTTCCAAAGATGGCTCCTGTCTGTATACACGAAGTGGACTGTCTTCATAAAATATCTTCTTATTAAACGGTCTGTACACTTATAAAGTTCTCAATGCTTCAGTTTGCATGTAGGGACCCTCATTATGCTACTGTGTTCAAGTGGGGCTATTTTGAGCCTTGTTAGTGGTATTAACTAGCGATTTTTATTTACTTATTATATGCCCCCATTACTAGCGTTATACGCTAAACAGTTTTTAGAGATAAAACTCTTTACATTCGATTATCATGAAAACAAATCTCAGAGAACGGTTGACTAGTAGGGGTGGGAATCTTTTACCATCTCACGATTCAATTCGATTCCGATTCTTGAGGCCACGATTCGATTCAAAATCGATTTTCGATTCAAAAAGATTTTCGATTTAAAACGATTCGATTTTATCCATAATGATTTCTAATCGGGTTTCTGATCATGATCTACTCTCATCTGCTTTGCTATACAGAATGACAAACGGAGACCAGTGTTTCCTCTAGGATTTTTTCCAGCTGTTGTGGCAGGCCCATTTCGCCAGGGGGAGGGGGCGTGGCCCATGAGTGATATTCCATTGGCCACGCCCCCCTTACCCCAGGTGTTTAAACCTCCCCTAAGCATTATAACATTATAACATGAAAGGCTCGAATAAGAGCGGCAAAGCGATTATGCGCATCCCGTGCGCAGAATGATGCACTTGAAGCAACGCGAAGTCACAGCGCGCAGCGCTCCGGATTGAAAAGTTCAAAGCACAAAACGAAGAGATTATATCTGTCTATCTATGCTTAATGTATTATATATATGCAACAGTTTATTGAGCATTTTCTTTTAACAGTTTTGAATTTCAGAAACAGTGCGCATGAAGAACAATTCATAGCGCTCTCCAGTGCTGTAGGCCTAATCTAACAGACACCCGGGAGAAAGGATTATGATTTAGAAAACGCTATAACGCGACGCGCTGTGTGAATGCTGAATGGAGAATGACTGAGGAGAGATGAGTTTCTATTAACTTTAACTAACGACTTAAATATTCATTTTTACCTCACATTATGCTATTGAATGACTTTAGAAGTCTTGGAATATAGTGTGAACACTTTATGGTGCTTTACAATGTTTTTTATGCCTTTAGCTTAACAATAACACAATAGTATACACATTAATATCGGACCTCACTGAGAAGCTGCAGCCGTGGCGGGATTATTTTAGGTGTGGCGGCCGGCCACGGCAGATGAATGTAGAAGCATCATATTTAGAAGCATCAGAAGCTTCATAGAAGCATCCACATTTGCTTCCTTTGATTTGCCGCTCACGTTCAAAAACCGACTGCGTGCATGACGTCCGGACGTCCCGTATAGGCTATAGTTACAAAAATGGAGGCGAACAGCCAGCTGATTTTATTTATTTATTAAATCGATTCTTGAACATTTCAGATCGATTCTGAATCGTTGCAAATGAGAATCTAGATTCTTCTGTGAATCGATTTTTTGGCACACCCCTATTGACTAGGTACCAATGTTTTATTAGACCAAAGGCTCATTTTGCGCCGGAGTTCTCCTTTAACTAATGTTGACAAACACAACCTTTGATTTTGATAATGTATTAGTAAATGTTGAAATTAATATTAACTAAGATTAATTAATGCTGTAGAAGTATTGTTCATTCTTAGTTCATGTTAACTAATGAACCTTATTGTAAAGTGTTACCTATACATTTTTAAATTTTAGTCTTTTAATAAGGCATCTGAAATATGCACATAAGTGCAATGTGTCGTCAAAAATATCGATGTTTCGATACATATCGATACTGAAATATCTGAAATGCTTCCAATACTCATTTCCCGCAGAATAGATACACGATACCAGCTTCTCTCTCTCTCTCTCTCTCTCTCTCTCTCTCTCTCTCTCTCTCTCTCTCTCTCATCTCTCCGACAGCGAGTGACACACAAACCCGCCTCTCCTCACTCACTCGCTTCATTCGCTCCGGATGAATATTGTTGCTGTTACAGGGCTTGAATTTCAGCGTGTTATTGCTCATAAAATAATTTATTTCCGCAGATTTTGTGCTCAAACACCCAAAGTGCAGCACATAAAGACTAAATTGAGTTATTTTCGCTGCTTATTGCGCTTAAACAGCCAAATACACACAACATAATGTAAAATGCCAGTCTTGGTGAGTTTTCACAAACACAATGGGTCTCATTCATGAAACACGAGCAGAACGAATTTTTGTGTAAGTCGTGTGTAAAGTGGTTCTGGCGTAAATTTTTGGATTCATTAAAATGTTCGTATTTTCCAAATGTTAGTTGGTACGACAGAAATCTACACCTGCTCCCAGCCACGCGTACATAGTGAGTTTAACACCCGAACGTTTTGCTCATTAATAACTAAGGCTGCATTTTAATTCACCTTAATCGGGTACATATTTGCACAGCATTTTGAAAAAATATTATATATAGTAATTACATACGGTTTTTCTTATTACGAGAGCCAGTAATAGCATCTGCGATGGTGGTCCTTCTCCAGTTTGAATACTATTTTTCCGAAGTGAACTAATTCGTTTTTTGCTCTCAAGCTTAATGTCGAACCATTTTCTTCTCACTTCTGGGAATGTTCGATTAACAGATGAAACTCCAGTAACTGCATCTGTAATATGCTGCCAAGCTTCCTTTTTTTAGGACCCGATACGCCACTATGTACGCTTGAAAATAAAATGTGGTGTTTTGAATGAACTTCTGATAATAAAACTTCAATTTCTGCATCTGAGAATTTTTTTTTTTTTTTCATTCGCATTCATGTCATAATATGCTGCCCATATATAGTTGTCAGTCGGATTTAATGGGCGGGGTTTATGGTAATTGAGAATGAGCGTGCACGCGCATCCCATTTACGACTGATTGGAATTCATTAACACACACACACATTTCACGATCACATCTGACGTTTACGAAGTATTTGTGAATCAGGAGAAGAGTTTTCGGGAAGGTCTCTTTACGCGCAAATCACTGTCATATTTACTCGTATATTTACGAATGTTTCATGAATGAGATCCAGTGAATGTATTTTAAGTGAATGTAAACAGTTGAGAAAGAAAACGCATGTGTAATGGATCCGTGCGTCAGATCTTAAACTGACAGCAGCCTAATAAACCTGCTGCCAAATTATGAGATAATATTAAAAATATCTATATGGCAGTTTTTCCCCATCCAGGGCTTGACATTAACTTTTTTGCTCACCAGCCACTGTGGCGAGTGATCTATTCTGCGGAAGAGTTTCAGATATTTCAGTATCAATATGTATCGAAAAATCAATATTACTGCCAACACTTTTGCACTTAGTTTATTATTTCAGATGCCTTTTTAAGGCGAGACACTACAGGTGAATAGGGTAATTTTTTTAACTAGCAGATATCACCATGAAACTTTCCCAGTTGATTACCTACATTAAGATGAGAAAAAAATGTATTACAAGTTTTCTGTAATTTAATGTTTAAATATGCAAATTAGGCATTATCTACTTAAATATGTGCTAATTTACATATATTTCAAAAAATGAAATCTGAGTATTGGATAAAGCCAGGTTCAAAATTATTTTTTCATTGTGTTCACATATTAGATGGGAAAAAAATTACAGAGGGATTTATGGATATCTACTTTTGTTATCCTATAAATCAGAATATACTGTCAATAGCCTTAAAAAAAAGATTTTTGCCATGTTTTTTGGAATAAAATGTTATATAAATCGGGCTAGGAATAATATATTTACAAATCCCTCTGTAAATGTCTTCATAATATAACTAGGTACAAGACTGGAAAGTTTGGTGTATATGGGTGCTACCGAAGTGGAGATTTCGGACTTTGAGTATGAGAGAACAGTCATTTTGAGAAAACGGGCTTTAAAGATTTAGCATCAGCCAATGAGATTGCGCATTTGCGCCCTTTTACTTTCACGATTGGTTGCTGATAAAAAGGAAATGACCATATTTGGATCCGACAACATTGTACAAGAGAGAGAGAGCTTTCTAACGGTGTGTGTGATGACAGGGTGCAGATCGTGATCGCGGAGCAACGGATGATTTACAACGCCAACTTTTGATGAATTTATGAGAAATCTACAGACGCAAACAGACAAAGTGTAGTAAAATAGAGACCTAAATGTGTATTTCGGACTTTTTTTCACCACAAGTCTGAAAGAAGACATGTTTTTGAAGACAAATATCCCGAAATCTCAAAATTGACCAGTGAAAAAAAACCTATGTTTTTGCCTGCCGTGTCTCGCCTTAAAAGACTACAATTGAAAAATGTATATTATATCAAATTCAACCCGCCAAAGTGGCTAGTGGGAGTGACTGCGTTACACACCAACGCTGAAATACACCGGGTGTTGATGTCAAGCCCTGTCCCCATGGTATTGATGTCAGAATTGTGACCAGAGAAAATGGCAAGTAACTTAGGAAAACCACTAGCCACAGTGTGAAAAGTTAATGTCTTTCATATGATGCCTGATAATGCTGTCTAGGTAGGCAACTCACTAGGGTTTGAGACACGGTATATAATCTTTTGCAATGTTTCATGTTTAATTTTCATGCAAATGCAGAAGTTCGTCATGGTTGTGTTCAAATAATCCGAAGACAAACCCGTCTCACCGTTTTCTGGTTGAGTCTTTTTCAAGGAATCCATGAGTGTGCTGATGGCTTTTAACACAAAGATGATCTCAGTCACTTGTTGCCTAGAGGATTAAAAAAAGAAATAGTGAAGAACACTCAGAATCAAGTCCTGTGCAATTTAGTTAGTGAAAACGAATGTTGTATGTCCAGCGCAGATTTCTATGGAAGCTCGTTTCTGCCACAGAATAAAAAATAAAAAGCTTTTTTCAAGCTTCCATATACATTTCATCCCAAAAGCCAAAGAAAGAAAATAATCATCTTGCATTAAGAATGTAAGCCCAATTTTTTGCATTATGATATTATTTTCATGACAATAAAGCACATTTATTCATTAAATTAATGCCAAAAATTTAATTCTCATTGTAATGCAAAACAAACAAAAACATTTAGATTTTACATTTTAATTAGTATTCATAATTTATATATTTTTTTCAGATTTTACTGTAATAATGTTTTTTTATTACAGCAATTTGAGAAGGAAAATTTGCTTGTATGCCAAAACATTTAAAAATTAAAGATCGACCGATAATCGGTTTTACCGATATTTTGCATCAGTTTTGCAATATCGGATTCACCGATAAATGTAGAATCCTAAAAAATATGCTTTTCTTCATTCAAGTCACTATTATTTGTATATTGCTTTTCACAGAGATGGTTTCAAAGAAGCATTACAGAAAATGCACGTTCCATTGACACAATGTCCTTTAAGCAATAAACAGGGAACCTAGCCTTAAATCCTTTATGCAGTGTAAATATTAATGAAAATAGTAGATTTTTTTTAGGGATGCACGATATGAAAATTTTGGCCGATACCGATAATTCTTTATATTTGAAAGCCGATAACCGATATATCGGCCGATAAATCTAAATCCAAATTTGTATATTATTTTTGAGAGCCTACAAAAACATCAAGTCTCATCATGTCCTAAACACACAATTATGATGTTCTCATAATAATTTGACGTAGCCGATATGACAGACATGTTGCGCTTAACCGTATTTTCCTTTTTAAAGTGATTCCAATAATTTTCATGCAATTCAAAACCATCATGTACAATGCATCTGAAGTGTCTCAGCTGAAAGAAATAATACACTATTTATCAGCTTTAATATATCGGCCAAATTTTCTTATCAGGCCGATAACGACAACATCACAAATGAACATATATCGGCCGATACCGATATGCTGGCCGATATATCGCGCATCCTTAATTTTTTTCTTTATGCAAAATGTTTATTGGTGGGGAGGGCAGGAAAAGAGTCCTATTTTGAAAGGCTCAGTGTGTGTGTGTGTGTGTGTGTGTTCCCGTAGGCTGACCTGGGCAGCGGGCAGCGTCCACTGAGCCTCTCGTCCTCCACGAAGCGTCGGAGCACGTCTTGCGCCCGTTGCAGAAGCACTGACAGAGCCATACGGGAGATGTAGCCCTCCTGCGGCGTCGACACCTTATTACTGAAGGAGAACTGCAGGAGCGTCTCGAAACACACTTTAGAGAACTCCTCTCGCATACGGATGTCCATTTCAGCCTCTGACCGGGACGAGAGGGACAGTTAGTGCATTCATACTCCAGTCCCTGCTTCCTAAAAGTTATCGAACGACTTTAAAGGGGTCATGAATTAAGAAATCTAAATTTGCTTTGATCTTTTGACATATAAGAGCTTATTGTACTATAAAAATAGCCTGTGAGTTTCAGAACTCAAAACTTCCTCATTAGTCCATAAACAGCTTTTATTGAAAGCAAGCCCAGAAATGACTCGTTTCGGATTTGTCACATTATGACGTCATAGTCAGATCGACGCCTACTTCTACATCATCGCCTCTTTAGCCCCGCCCACTGAGTGTTTATACTGTAGCGACGCAGTCAAACTGTGAATAGTTGTGATTTGGATGATCAGATCCATATAATCAAAGATGCGGATAAATGAGATGTTCAGTGACGTTTAAGATGTTAAATAATGTGAGTTTAAGTTAAGTGTATTTGTTTTTGTGTAGACTTGTTTATTTGTCATGTTTTTGTACCCAGTATAGTCGTGTATGTGTATCTTATGGTCATGCATATGTATGTATTTCCATATTTATATTGTTTAACTGTTTGTATTTTGTGTATTTTACCCTCAAGAATAAAAAAAATAAAAAAAAGGATTATCGAATACGCTGCTTTTGTTATTGTTTTGAACAAAGCCATTCGCTGTAATCTTGAATAAAAGCTTCAGTTTTGTCATAAGTAACGTTTAATTTTATTTAAAACACGACACTGCAAATTACAATGTATACGTCTTTCACTTTATCATAAAGTATGAACTATGAATAGCCTATAAGAACGGCAGTGTGACAAACTATGGTACATTCATTCATAATTCACACGCAAGTCATCCTTTGTCAAGTATAACTGTGGTAACTCCAAGTACTTACTTATTTTAATATGCAATACTGTAACCCAATCATAGCAGTGGGCGTTTACTTCCAAGTCTTGAATGCGACACGCCCATCAAAACGTGTGTTCGAAAGAGAGGGTCAAAAACAGGACAGAAAATAGCTTATTATTATTTCTAAATTAGGAGGTTGAGAACCTTGATAACATTATAAAATGTTAGAAAATGCAGTTCATGACCCCTTTAATGTCATTCTGTTCCTCACACAAGGCTATCATATGAAGTCTTGGATCATAGTGCATGAGTCTTATGGACTACTTTATGCTTTTATGATCTTAAAAAAAAAAAAAAAAAAAAAAAACAGCAGCATGAACATTCTTCCTAACATCTTCTTTTGAGTGAGTAAATGACAGGATCTGTGAATATCTGCTTTAAGAAGAGTGAACAGATTGTGAATCAGATGAAGACGGTTGATTCATCATTCTCTGTACCTGTGAACGATGAAGACTGGGAGTGAATCGACCCTCTGTTAAGCATGCTCATGATGCGACCTACGAACTCTTTGGGTATGAAATTGGCAAACGGTAAAATCTCTGTGCTGATCAACTGCACCACCTAGAGGACAAAAAAAACATTTGAAATAGATATTTTTAAATTTAATATTTATTTTGTACATAGTCGTGGCCAAAAGTGATGTCGGATACTTGTGCTTAATGACCCTTACAAGTTCGATTAAACCATTGATATATGTTTTGTTTTTTTACATATGAGGGAAGAACAAACATTAACTTGGTTAAGGTATTTATCTGACAAAATGAATCGGCAACTAGCTTGTTTTATTTTACTATTAAAAAAAATGCATAGAAAAAGCAAACATTGACTATACAACATGATCAATTATTAATATTTCATAGGTTCTCTTTTGTTTTTGCATGTGTTCATAATTTCTTTCTAAGACAGCCTGGTAAAAATAAATGCGTTTTTTTTCACAAATAAAACAATCGACTCCAAGCACAACTACACAATATAAAATGTTTAACACATTTTTAATAATATTTGAAAAAATCATCACATTCGCCACTAATATGTACACAAAATTGCTGCTTTTAACTGTATTTTAGACAATTACGCTTAATACTTAAATATAATTAATTTTATCATCACAAAATGTCCATATACCAGCCAGTTATATGAGCCTATCATAAATCAATGTTTTTTTTTTAAATGCCATTTATAACTAGGGATGTCCCGATCAGGTTTTTTTGCCCTCGAGTCCGAGTCATTTGATTTTGAGTATCTACCGATACCGAGTCCCGATCCGTTACTTATATAATACATAAAAAAAGAATAAAGAATTGAGAAAAAACAGATCCAGGATGTTCCTTATTTTTGATTTAATTCACCTTATTTTAACATTCAACAACTGTTAACAAACAGAGCACTTCTGTGAGGGAGCTTGAACAATCAAGTAATAAATAACATAAAATCTTCACTTTTGGACTTTAGTGCAACAGTAAATATAGAAAAAGTCTAATATAAAAACATATAGCACCTCAACTTAAAATACCCGGCAGGCATGTAAACAAAAAATAAAAATGTTTTAAAAGTGTATAAAAAAAATAATGCGAATATATATATATACATTAGGGCTGTAACAGTTCACAAAATTCGCGGTTCGTTTCGATACGACACAGCAAAAAGAAGGAAATGCCAGAGAAATTTCCTATTTATTAAAAGAAAAACTATTTTTAAATAAGTTAGAGTTTTCCTACATCTTGAAACTTTCAGGTTTATAAATGGGGGTAATCTTTGAAGGATGAACAAATAATGTTTTGGTAATCACATTAAAAATAACATTTAAATATATATTTATATAATATTTGAGTTTTGAAGTGCAACATTAACTCCATGTTCATTCACGGCACAATGTTTCTCCTGGTTTCCACGTCAGCGCTGTTGATCTAATAGAGATCTACGGTTAATAACGGAGAAATTTGAATGCTGGATCTCTTCGCTTGATCTCGCGCTGCACAGATGTTGCTGGTCCGAATATAATGAGAAGCGCAGTTTCGTTCCGCTTTCATTGCGTTTGCCATTTGATGTTGCGCAAGGTTGTGGTGATCGCGCCAGCGCTGATTTTGTCTGCAGGAAAAATGGTCCTAGGAATCGTGCGGTTTGTATGCGTATCGAACCGGAAGCCTCGTACCGAAACGGTTCAATAATTACGAATACATGTACCGTTACACCCCTAATTTACATTTATCCGAGTCCTGATCGGGAGATAACGTCCGATTCCGATCGAGTCTGAAACCACGTGATCGGGCCCGATTTCAGATCGCGTGATCGGATCGGGACATCCCTATTTATTACCAATAATTCTAGAATTCCACTTCTTCTGTGTTTTTGTGTTTGTTTCATAACAGTCAGATGAAATTACCTCCACATCTACAGCTTCGTTCCTCTGGAACTCCTGTATGGAGAGATTATCTGGAGGTGTGCTGTGGGATACGAGAGGAAAGGAATTAAGCTCTGTTTGCCTTTAATATACCATGATATCAAGATCCTGTTGAAAAGAAATTGAACACCTTTTGGTAAACAGGAAGTCCTCAAATGCGTTCGCCAGCTCCGGCCACATCGTGTCGAATTTGCCTGAGGATGCTTGTTGCCGGGCAACAGGGAGTCCAATGGAAAGCACTTTGAGCAGAGAAGAGACGGCCAGTTTCCAGGTGCTCTCCGCGGGACAGGCGTACTTCAGTCCCAGAGGAATCCTCACAGTCTAAACACAGAGAAGCTTCTGCTTTAAACGTGCACACATACGCCTGTTGCTTTGCCTGAAGACAGGTGGCCTTTAGTGTCTAAGATGCTGTTGAGAAGGTCTCACATGTTGCATAAATATATGCGAAACTACTCATTCACAACAGAGCATGCCAAAAATAAACTAGATAAAAAGTTCAAGACAAACAGAGACTAGATAGAATTGATAGTAGTGGTGGAACGGATTAAAAAAATTACGGTTCGGATCATTTACGTATATCATTACGGATATATCATTACGGATATCATTTATATATGTATAACTGCTTTTCATGTATTACTTAAAGCTCACTTGAAGTTCTCCGATACTACATCAAAAACTACTAGCCTAACTGATCAAGTTCACACATTATTTAAAACAAGTGAACAGTCAGAAATAAAATAAGAACAAATACACAAATTGTGTAATGTTGCTAGCATGATTTAACACATTGCTACCATGTCGATAGCATGATTTAACATGTCGATAGCATGATTTAACATGTCGATAGCATGATTTAACATGTCGATAGCATGATTTAACATGTCGATAGCATGATTTAACATGTCGCTAGCATGATTTAACATGTCGATAGCATGATTTAACATATCGATAGCATGATTTAACATGTCGATAGCATGATTTAACATGTCGATAGCATGATTTAACATGTCGATAGCATGATTTAACATGTCGATAGCATGATTTAACATGTCGATAGCATGATTTAACATGTCGATAGCATGATTTAACATGTCGATAGCATGATTTAACATGTCGCTAGCATGATTTAACATGTCGATAGCATGATTTAACATGTCGATAGCATGATTTAACATGTCGATAGCATGATTTAACATGTCGATAGCATGATTTAACATGTCGATAGCATGATTTAACATATCGATAGCATGATTTAACATATCGATAGCATGATTTAACATGTCGATAGCATGATTTAACATGTCGATAGCATGATTTAACATGTCGATAGCATGATTTAACATGTCGCTAGCATGATTTAACATGTCGATAGCATGATTTAACATGTCGATAGCATGATTTAACATGTCGATAGCATGATTTAACATGTTGCTAGCATGATTTAACATGTTGCTAGCATGATTTAACATGTCGATAGCATGATTTAACATGTCGATAGCATCATTTAACATGTTGCTAGCATGATTTAACATGTCGATAGCATGATTTAACATGTTGATAGCATCATTTAACATGTTGCTAGCAAGATTTAACATGTTGTTAACATAATTTAACACATTGGAAACATGATTTATTTAACACATTGCTGACATGTTGGTGAGATAATTAACATGTTGCTAGTAGCATGATTTACCATGTTGATAGCACGATTTAACATGTTGGTAGCATGATAAAGCATATTGCTAGCACGATTTAACATAGCTACCATGTTGCTAGCATGATTTAACACATTGCTAACAAGATTTAACACGTTGCTAGCCTGATTAACATGTTGTTAACAAGATTTAGCATGTTGTTAGCATTATGTAACACGTTTCTAGCAAGATTTAACACACTGCTAACATATTCAAACATGTTGCTAACATGATTTAACATCTTGCTAACATGATTTAACATATTTCTAGCATGATTAGCATATCATAAGCCAACCTAATTATATTTGCTGCGGACAGTCAGTTTTATAACTGTTTTTTTTTTTTTGCCTAGTACCTTAATGATGTTTTGCAGGACTTTCTCAGTGATAACGGCTTTGTGACAGGCCGTTTTATGATACAGATCGACCAGCACCTCCAGAGATCGCTCTGCAAACGGCACGTAGTTTAAGGCCACCCACTCCGCCTGGACACACACAGACACAAACACATGAAATAAAGACAGTGGATTAATTATATCACAATGCATTATTAAAAGAACAAAATCAGCCTCAAAGACATGAATACTTGTAAAATAATACAATATCAGAGAAGGGTTGTGATTAAACACAATTATGTGTTATTGTCAACACATAAACACTTTGTTCAAACTAAATCAGATTTTTTTATCCCCACTATCTGTAAAATGAGCCACAGGATTGAGCTTAAATGACTGGAAAAACAGCCCCTACAGATTTCCACTTCAACACTAAGAACCGCGTATACTAAATGAGGCGAGGGTGTCGAGTTACATTCAAGATATTTTAAGGCATGAAGAACTTTTTTTTAATATGTCATTTTGGTGATCAAAGATGAGTTAAGGGATAAAATTATTGACTACAGGGGGATTTTAAAACAATGTGAGAAAAAAAACACGCAAACCCGACCCAATTGTTTATTGGCACGATTTTTACAATAAATTTGCATTAGTTTATATCCAGCTGGTCGCTTTTATGCATTCATATCCAGCAAAGTTGCATGTTTAAAGCAAGAGACGTGAGATAGATAAAACATATAAACAAATCAGAAACATTCAATTTCAGTTCTTCTTTTATCATCACTGTAATACATATTTTGTTATTGTGATTTCATAACTATCAAGTGTTCTAAAAAAAGAAGCAAATACAGCGCGAGAGTATACATACAATGTACATGTGCGCCGTCTAATTTAATTGCTATGGCCTTGGTGTCGACCACTATCGGTCGACCTCCAAGCATCCTTGTCGTCCATTTCATACATGCAAATGGGTAAATCAAAAGGCTATTAATAATTTTTAAACTTTTTGTAAGTAGGTTTAACAAATTGAAACCACCATGTGCTTTAAACTACACATAAGGCAATAAATTTAGCTAATAATAGCTTACTACTTGCTGAAAAGTGTGTAGTATATAATGTGTACTACATGCTACAACACAATAGCAAGCTAGTTTATTTTCAACATGTTGCAAGTTTAATCCAGTTATCATGTTGGAAACCGAAATGTTTATTTTCTGTTTAATAATATTTTGTGTAAAATATCAGTCAAGGTGACGTTAAAAATTTTAAAACTATTAAAACACTGGAAATGGAAGGTCAAGTCAAGCACATTGCATTGTGGTAGACTGTGTGTCATGTAGTGTTGTAGACTGTACATATTGATAAATGTAGTATTTTATACATACATAAACATGTAGATTATCCATACTACATTCTGCAACAATAGTAAGAGTAGTGTGATAATATGCTATTCCAAATATGGTCTGTTTCTTGACCACATAACTCAAAGATTATAAGTTATAAAAGTGTACAAAATTAACTGTTGGTGGCGCTAGAGAGTTTGAAAAACTGGCATGATAGAAGTGGAGACTCTCCATTATAAATGTGCAAAATTTCATAACTTTTCAACAGACAGTTCTAAGAAATGCCATAAAATAACTGAAATTGTAGTTTATTTTGGCAGTTTTGAGATGAATGAATAGATGTGGCTGATGGAAATGAGCGTAAGAGTATGAAAGAGCGAAGTTTGTCATTTAGAGCAGTTAAATGGAGCTCAAGAGCAGCCGGAGAGGAAAAGGAAGAGAAAACGAGGCAGAAAGCAGACGAGAGACGGAGATATAGAAAAAGACAGCGGAAGGGAGGAAGAACTCACCGGTGCAAACAGTTGGATCTAAAGTGGATCCGTATGAAGTACAAAAACAGAACAAGAGAAGAGCAGACAAATGTTTACTACCACTGCTGATCACAACCGCACAATGAAACTACTTCATACAATGACAACAACAACAAAAACTAACAAGCGTTTGGTTTGAGAGTCATGTTTAAAAATACTTTGCATTTAACCTGAGAGATGGGGTAATGTAAGTAAATCACAATATTCTCACAAATATGTGTAATTTTTGACACACAAAAACCTCTTTTTGATGTAAGAGATGTTTTAAATGTTTTAAATATTTGAGTATTTCACATTTATTTACGGTTTATAGCTTTAACTGGTATACTGATCCAACCCTAGTGTTATTAAAAATTAAAATGTTCAAAGTTGAATTTGAAAAGGAACAACGTGGTCCAAAGTATTCAGACATGACTAAAATAAAATAAAACCACAGCATGCAAAGACAAACATCTTCAAAATAAACAATCAGAAAGCCACTGAACGTATCTAAAATCCCCAAATAGTTATGACAAAAGTGAAATATTGTAATCCTAGAGCCTCATATAACTGAACAGGGAAGAAGAAAAAAACAAAGAAGTGTGCAATGTGTGCATTCAAAACACTCCAGAGCAGAAACAAAGATCATCTACTATAGCATCATATTGGGAAACAGACATGGAAATGAATGCTGTATGATGATGATGGGTGTATGTGTGTATGGTGAGTCATAAAACAACGATCAAAACCAATCTTGAAAACAGCTGAAAAGTGAAGCCCATCCGAGGTGGACACCGGACAGAGACTCACCTGGTTGTATTTGGCATTGGCCACGTGTTTGGTCTCCATCTTTCCGTACTGAGGAGGTTTACAGGAGAACTCTACGAACAACAGGAGCTGCTCAAAGATGGCCGGATACATCACCTGGAGATTCTCCGAACCCACACAAATTGCCTGGAACAATGACATACAATCTCATTCAGACATTCATCACAATCAACTGATCTAGTTGATATAACAGGTGTGCAATCCATCAACAAAAAAAAAAAAAGCATGATTTTCAGAGGGGGGAGGGGCGGGGGTTGGGGGGGTTAACGCACGTCTGTTAGTCATTAGAGTTTGGTTTATTTGGTTGGTGAGAAAAATAAGGATGGGACTGAATGGATGATTTGTCTAGTCATTAAACAGCTAACTAGTGCTCGTGTGGTACTTGCATTAACAATGCAAATATATCCAAACAACAGAAACATCAAAGAGTGAAACGACCTCGTGCAACCTAAAACAAAATTTATCACGTAATTTACTCGCCCTGAAACTCTTTCAGAAGAAAGGCTCTTCTAAGCTTTATAATGGGAGTGAATGGGGCCCAAAAAAGTGCATCCATCCATCATAAAAGTAATCCACACGATTAATAAAGGCCTTCTGAAGCAAAGCATGCGTTTTTGTAAGAAACATATCCATTTTATTAACTATAATCACTGGATTCCGGTAACGGACGTATGCGAGTTGGGTTCAGGCGGAAGAGTGACCTCTGACCCGACGCATGACGTATTAATAAACGATAGAGCAAAACAAAACACTGTTAACGAATTAGAAGTCTAAAATTTGAATTTTTAAAGAGAAATGTCGGAGGAGCTTCAGTGATTATAGTTTGTAAAGTTATAATTGTGGATATTTTTCTTACAAAAACGCATGGCTTTGCTTCAGAAGGCCTTTATTAACCCCTGGAGTCGTGTGGATTACTTTTATGATGGATGGATGGATGCACTTTTTTTTGGGCCCCATTCACTCCCATTATAAAGCTTGGAAGAGCCAGGATATTTTTTAATATAACTTCGATTGTGTTCGGCTGAAAGAAGAAAGTCATATACACCTAGGATGGCTTGAGGGTGAGTAAATTATGAGATATTTTTGAGGGGAACTATCCTTTTAATTGTAATTGTATTTTGGTTTGGTGTTTAATGTTTTTTGTATTTTTGGCTATTTATGCTGTTGGAATATTGTTTTAATGGAAAGCACAAGTTGTTTTTAAATGCGCTATACAAATAAACTAACTAACTGACTTAAAGGTGCAGTGTGTAATATTTAGGAGGATCTGTTGACAGAAATGCAATATCATATACATAACTATGTTTTCAGTGGTGTATAAACCCTTACATAATGAACCGTTATGTTTTTATTAGATTATAATGAGGCATTTCTCTCTACACACACCGCGGGTCCGCTTACACTGACATGTTTCTACGGTGGCCCTGAACGGACAAACGCGTTTCGTCACTATGTTGTTCTTCGTGCAAAGAAGCTATAGCTAAAGTCAGCGAATAAAACACTGACACAATGATGAACAAGTATCAATAATATTCGCAATTTACTGAATAATGAAGTAAACCTAATTTCGTTATCTTTGTAAAGAATCCTCATTGTTTAACTGGCTACTCTGTGCTGTCTCAGACGACGACATCACTTCCTGTCGGCCACCGTAACTTCTGTTGGGTGCAGTTCACAACCTCACCACTAGATGCTGCTAAATATTACACACTGCACCTTTAAGTAGTGTTGTACCTTCTGCAGGACATCGAGGGCGGTCAGGACTGCTTCTTGAAGGCTTGTGAGCACAGCCTCGGTGTAGGAGGGCAAGATGAACGGCGAAGAGTCTGAACTTATGGGGACCGACACGGCTCCATACAGGATCACCCCCAGCTTCTTGAGATCCTCCATGCTGAACCCTCCTGCGATGTGCTGGTACAATGCTGGGAAAATCTGTATTAGCGCCGTCAGGAAAGGCTGGCTGGGTACGAACACTAGTTTATCTGGTCCACCACTAGGGGGTCGCGTGCACTCGGTTCCCACCCGGTACCAAGTGTTCCACGCCGACCACCACAGAGCCGAGTCGTCGATCTCTTCTCCAGGTGGCGGAAGCGAAGGTTGGACGCCGTAGCGCTGGGCTAGTCGTTCTGCAAGCGAATCGGATCGGATTAGGGGTCTTCCTGGACCAGAACCTTGGAGAGACTCCATAAGGACAGAAGGAACGTCCATAGCTGCGAGAGCATCGGGTTTATCCGTGTCTTTAATGGGCGTGACGAGCTGGAGGATCTCCTGGAAGCTCTTGAGGGCGGCGAGGGAAACTTCATTGTTCTTGCTGAGGGCAGCGGACTGGATGTGGTCCAGAAGAACTTCCCAAGCTTTGAAAAAGTCACCTGCAAAAAAAGCAAGAGATCCATCTTTAAATCCGGATCCATTGAAAATGACGGGGGTTTTTTGTTTCAAAAAGCTTTATTTTCTCACTACAGATGAAATGAGCATAAAAAATGAGCATATCGTGCAAAAGTTCATTTATTTCAGTAATTCAACTTAAAAGGTGAAACTAATATATTATATAGACTCATTACATGCAAAGTGAGATATTTCAAGCCTTTATTTGTTATAATTTTGATGATTATGGCTTACAGCTTTTGAAAACCTTTTCACATTATTCTAAAAAAAAGTTTTTTGCAGTACAAAAATACAATATAATATATAATCATATAATAAAACGATATGATATTAAAATACACAAAAGTGGACACTATAGTTTATTTATGTAAGTGAGGAGAGCAAAATAAAGTAAATGGACATATTATATCCAAAAATTCTTCATACAGTGACTACCAGTAACATTTATAAATATTTGGGACCAAAAATGATTCCTCCACTTTGAGCTGATCATGTTTTGCTGAAGTGTGTTTTCTGTAATTGCTAATGCTCTTTTTACACACAGACTGAACAACATGAAGCATTGCTTGGTCACTGGTTGAGCTAAACTGGTATTATCTAATTGTGTAGTTAAATTTAACAGCTGACAGATATTCAACATAATTCATGTGTGTGAGTCTAACAGAAGGACGGACAAAACCAGTCAAATATCAACTGAGTTCTGCTCATATTTTATTACCATTTTCAGCGAATAAACTGTGATAATGTGAGAAATGTTGAAGGTGTCTGAATAAATTTAGGTTTGACTGTAGCCGTTTTCAAATATATCCAGATGAGTGTAGATTCGCCTTTGAGAACCACATCTTCCAGTGCTTACCCAGCTGCTGGAGCAGATATCTCCTGGTGTTGAAGATCCGAGCTACGCCCGCGAGCGTCAGAACCCACGTTTCCGCCCACTGCTTCTCTGCCGTGTCGCGCGAGTGGTGGATGAGGATATTTCCACCTCCAGATTCGATCTTCTCTTTGTCGGCCGTGGTGGAGGACTTCCTTACACAGTTCAGCAGATGAAAGAGAACCTGCGGAGCAATGTTACAGAGGTTTCCGTCATTAGCAAAAATTACAATGCAATTGGGTTCATTTTAGGGATGCATGATATATTAGCCACCATATCGGTATTGGCCGATACGTTCATTAAAAATGTTATTGTTTTGGCCCGATAAGAAAATTTGGCCTATATATTGAAGGGATAGTTCACCCAAAAATGAAAATTAGCCCATGTTTTACTAACTCTCAAGTCATCCTAGGTGTATATGACATTCTTCTTTCAGACGAATACAATCGGAGTTATATAAAAAAAAAAGTCCTGGCTCTTCCAAGCTTTATAATGGCCGGTTTCTGTTTTGAAGTCCATAAAAGTTCATCTATCCATTATAAAAGTGCATCTATCCATCATAAAAGTGCATCTATCCATCATAAAAGTGCATCTATCCAACATAAAAGTTCATCTATCCATCATAAAAGTGCATCTATCCATCATAAAAGTGCATCTATCCATTATAAAAGTGCATCTATCCAATATAAAAGTGCATCTATCCATCATAAAAGTGCATCGATCCATCATAAAAGTGCATCTATCCATCATAAAAGTGCATCTATCCATCATAAAAGTTCATCTATCCATCATAAAAGTGCATCTATCCAACATAAAAGTTCATCTATCCATCATAAAAGTTCATCTATCCATCATAAAAGTTCATCTATCCATCATAAAAGTGCATCTATCCATCATAAAAGTGCATCGATCCATCATAAAAGTGCATCTATCCAACATAAAAGTGCATCTATCCATCATAAAAGTGCATCTATCCATCATAAAAGTGCATCTATCCAACATAAAAGTTCATCTATCCATCATAAAAGTGCATCTATCCATCATAAAAGTGCATCGATCCATCATAAAAGTGCATCTATCCAACATAAAAGTGCATCTATCCATCATAAAAGTTCATCTATCCATCACAAAAGTTCATCTATCCATCATAAAAGTGCATCTATCCATCATAAAAGTTCATCTATCCAACATAAAAGTGCATCTATCCATCATAAAAGTTCATCTATCATCATAAAAGTGCATCTATCCATCATGAAAGTGCATCTATCCAACATAAAAGTGCATCTATCCATCACAAAAGTGCATCTATCCATCATAAAAGTGCATCTATCCATCATAAAAGTTCATCTATCATCATAAAAGTGCATCTATCCATCATGAAAGTGCATCTATCCAACATAAAAGTGCATCTATCCATCACAAAAGTGCATCTATCCATCATAAAAGTGCATCTATCCATCATAAAAGTGCATCTATCCATCACAAAAGGCCTTCTGAAGTGAAGCGATGACTTTGTGTAAGAAAAATATTCATATTTAACACGTTACAAAGTAAAATTCTAGCTTTTATGATGGATAGATGCACTTTTATGGACTTCAAAACAGAAACAGCCATTCACTACCATTATAAAGCTTGGAAGAGCCAGGACATTTTTTAATATAACTCTGATTTGTGTTCGTCTGAAAGAAGAATGACATAAACACCTAGGATGGCTTGAGGGAGAGTAAATCATGGGCTAATTTTCATTTTTGGGTGAACTATCCCTTTAAAGCCAATAAATAATGGATTATTTCCTTCAGCTGAGACACTTCAGATTGGTTTTTAATGGCTTGAAATATGATTGTAATCACTTCAAAAAGGAAAACAAGTCTGTCATATAAGCTACATAAAATTGTAATGAGAACATAGTTTGGGACATTGCTTTTAATGGTGAGACTTTTGTTTTTGTAATCAGGCTCTCAAAAATTATATAAACATTTGGATTTAGATTTAGATTTATCGGCTATCAAATACAAAAGAATTATCGGTGTCATAACGTGTCCCGTAGAGATCAAGGGGAGGTGGTAGATAGGCTCAGGACTCAGATATCATCCCACAGAGGATTTTTATTAAAGGCCAGTGGAGTAGTAGGGGTGTACAAACTCTCAGTGAAGTGTCACAGAAACAATTCCAAAATTAAACCAACAAAAAAAAAATATTTACAAAAATAAACATACACTGGACTCAGTGCAAACTTTGATATAACAATAACCAAAGAAAAACAAATTGATACAGGCAGCAAAAATCTTCATGATACGTTCAGCAATATAACCCCATCCTTTCCTCCCAAGGTTCAGTTTAGACTGTCTTATATAGCCTAGAACAGGCTCATTACACTCAAGACCATACCAACTACAGGGGTATCAATACAAAACCTTTGTAGCTTAAATATATGACCATTATCCAATTAACTTTCAAAAATCCAAAAAATCAATAAAATAAACTCATTCAGCAACTTAAACTAAATGCAAACACCATAAGACATTTCTCCATGCCTACATTACCAAGGGTTAAGTTCCCTATTAGTAAAAATGGTTTAACCCGACCCAAGAAAAAGGAAAGCTGTGGACCCGCCCCCTCCTTTGAGGAGTCACAGGAACAGGAAATGGTGAGTAGACAGCATGTGGGGTAACTGTTTGCAATGTAGAAATAAATACAAATTTGAAATAATAAATAACAAAAATGCATTACTAAAAACTTGTCTGTGTGGTTAATGAGAAAATCAAAGAGAAACTATAGCAGACATAACATGTTGTGATAGTGATGGCAAGATGAGGCTTCCTGAACCACTGAGACCTCGCAGCCCATTGCTTCAACCAAAGGTTCATTACTCGAAGCTTCATTCAGCATTGCTCACTAGTGACACCTAGCTATTGTGCAAAGAAATTGCAGGCAAATTAATTCATTCTGAACCAATGACCCGCCCCCCTCCCGCAATGTTTTATTTATTTATCTTCTTCTAAATATGAATGTCTCTGTAACCTTTCATTTGCAATAATAAAGAGATCTGTGCAGACATTTGTCCATTGCCTGCATGAAATAAAACGTGTATATTTCTCTGTCTGCATTTACTTGTACAGAGACAACTGTCACACACACAGTTAATTAATTATTCCAAAAAATATTGGATAGGGACAGTATGAACAACAATAGTGACTGTGTTGAGTGCAGTGCTTATGGTGGAGGGACTCGAGGAAGTGTAATAAAGTAAACTGCAGTAAACACCACAGTTCGGGTGGATGAATTGCAATAGATATTTATTGAGAAAATGAATTTTTTGAAGTGTGTTGGGGTTTAGACAATTCCTCTTCTTGGACAAAACCTCACCACCCTTGGAAAAATATCCTTTCACAAGGAACAGAGGATGCAGGGGAACATACAATGTCAGTGCCAGCGGGTATAAATAAAGATATTGATGCTTCTGTTGAGCCCAGACAGGGGAGGATTTCCTCTTTCTTGCTGGCTCCATTACCATGAAAAAGGAAGATGTCATAAAAAGCAAACAAATCCAAAAGGGCAATCCAAATTAAAAAGCAGTCCAGTCCAGATCCAAAAATCTAAGCTACCAAAAATCCAAAGCAATCCAAATAATCTTATCTAATTAATATAACGAGACTATAATATAGCTACTATAATTAATAATAACAATTATTCATTATTATTAATAACTATTCTAACCTGATATAATGCAATAATATACAGCCCTAACACATATATGACACAATAACGACAATGAGATTTCTCTAACTCTGACTCTCTGACACACTACACCTGCTTCTACTACTGCTACTCCTGCAACAGCCACAAGGTGGCGCGAGTTTCGAACCCCCTTTCTCCCTTTATCCAGAAGCGACACTCAGACCGAACCGATGACGTATCCACACAAACCGAGGCCTCGTTTGTCATCAGTCACGTGATTTTCACGTTAACAACACAAGCCTCGAATCGCGGCTTCATCTGGCACGCCCATTTTTTCTCGACACAAGCTCCGATGCCTCGGTTCAAATGTCACATCACTATGTTGTGAAGACCACTGATATGTGCACCTATCTGCAATCCACTCCAACAGCATATCTTAAACTTATTATAAATGAGTCTTATAGAATAATGAACCTAAGGGACTGCACCATAGTCAACAGAAACACAAAACCCTAAATAACAAATGAAAAAGAAACATAAGCCCACAATTTGTAATGACTACGGCAGTGATGACGCCATCTTAGCACCCGTCATCACAATCGGTATCGGCAAAAATGTTCATATCGGTGCATCCCTAGTTAATTTTGTCACTGGCCAAGTCTGATCCAGTACCTTCCAAACCAGTCAAATGTGTTTTCAACAACTTCTGGAAGCTCAAAACATTTTAGACCTCGTTTACACCTGTATTTAGTGTCGTCCACTTGTGATCCGATCAACCAAAACACATCTTATAGACAAAACGACCATAGATATCTATCAGTACAATATCTGATACCTATCACATGACTAAACATGCATCATTTTTAAAATACCCCTGTTTTAGATTTAGATTTATCTGCCAATATATCAGTTATAAGCTTTCAAATACTAAGAATTATAGGTTATCGGTAAAATATTTAATATCGGTGCATCCTTAGTTCATTTTGTTCTGATCCAGTACCTTCCAAACCACAATGTTCCAGGTCGGTGGTTGCAGCAGCGTCCCGTGAGCAGCAATGGTGGAGAACATGGTTTGCCCTGCGCTTTTCCTCACAGCCGGGCGTGGGTCTACGCACAACTCGCCCAGTTTGGCATACAGGCACAACCACAGGCAGTCGAAGGGCGGTGCCGGGTGGAAGGGTCGGTTCAGAGGTTCTCCTTTATCTTGGGCCTGTTTCAGGAGAACCGCTTCCTCCTTTTCCAGCTCCTCTGTAATGGCTTCTCCCCTCTGGAAGAAGTAATCTGAGATATTCCACTGCAGAAAGTGGAGAAAGAGAAGATGTTTTACTCAGTCTACTCATCTATCCAAAGGAACTTGACTTGAAGGCAACACTTTACGATATGGTTCATTAGTTAACATTAGGCCAGTCACTTTTGTGAAAAAATCCTGTTTGATTTTTGAGACATAATTGTTCATTGAATCGATTGTAAAACAAATGTTCCATGTCTAAAGACGTTTCCATTTTCAACACCAGATACAGGCAAATCCACAGACACCTAACAGGCGTTAGGACGAGCGTAAAGAGGGCGCTTGAGACGTGCAAGTCAGCAATATTCCTGATGATTTACTGGCGTGAAGTTTCAGCACAATAACAAACAGGAGCGCAACATTCAGGGATTGAGATTAACACCCTCGACCCGCCAAACGCGGGTAAAAATGAACTTTGGCGGGAAACGCTGTCAAATCACGAGCCAATTTGGTGTGTTTCTGTGTTTACTCACTTTTCTGGGGAAGTTCGTGTAAGACAAATCTGCGCAAATACGCAACTCGTGATCCTCATGATATATTAAAGCTCCAGTCCGTAACTTTTTTAAGTTAAAAATAATCCAAATGAATTATTTAAAAAAAAACATATTCTGCCAGTGGTCAAAACTATCTGCTTGCCATAGCTAGATTCAAAACGGTTAGCTTGTAATAATGATTTTAACTCCAGTGGTACTGGTGGGTTTTCGCGGGAAATTCGAGCATGTCTTTGCGTCATGACGTCACACCCGTACACATAAAGAAGGAGTTTCGGCTAGCCGGCTATACTGCGCGTGACGAGATGTTTAGATGTATAGGCTTTTCTCGCAGCACTTTACATGATTAAACTTATGGCGGATCCAGAAAGATCCAAACAACAATCATCAGTGTCAACTGGAGATTCAGCAGTTATAAAACCCAAAAGACTTCGTACTTCGGATTTAAGGTGGCTAGAGAAAGAGAAAGAAACCGTCTCATGCGAACACAAGGATTTAAACATCGGCGGGGCTTTTGAAAAGTGCGTGAACTCCGTGTTTTGAAGGGGTTCGAAACGGAAGAAGAGACCGCTTTTTTCTGCTGAACAAGTAAGACATTTCAATAGTTCAATCGTGTAACAGTACGTTTTCTTAATTCACACAGTTATGGAGTTTCCTTTGTTGTGCCTTTCTCGTTTTGCTATTATGGAGAATATGAATTCTGAACTACACAGGTAACCATAAAACACATTAAATTTAACATTAGTCACGCAATGCTGATGTTGTTAAGATGAACAATTTGAGAACAAAGTAGGCTATAATTTGCACGGTTGCTGTAAATCGCGTTGATTAAATCTAACGATCACTTGTCATGTCGAATGCTTTTTCCCCCTTAGTTGGTCAGAACAAAAATGGATGTTACTTACTTGTTCAGAAGACATTTTCCGGTGAAAATTCTTATGTTGGTCAAGCTTTCAAAAAGTGAATCTGTGATTCTGTATGACAGTATCCACACAGCGCGGTGACTGACAGCAGCACTCGCCTCAAAACACTGTGTTCATCCGCGCTGTTTCATGCCGATTTACATACGGACTGCAGCTTTAAATACAGCGTATTGCAGAATCTGCTCATTTCTGGCTTACTTGAACACACACGTCACTACGCAACAAATAACGGCGCGCTTGTTCACTTGCACTGAAGTAATAGCGAATATTAAAAAGCATTTGGTTAACAGAAAAGACATTGTTATTCTCCAGCATCCTACATGTTCTGTGTCCTATATTGATCTGTCCATCTAAAACACATTTTTGGTCAAAAAAAAAAAAAAAAGCCGTTAAAATCGATTCCCTATTTTCGTCTTCGAAACTTGTGTTGGTTGGTCCGATCGATTGTGCAATAGATTTTCGAACGTAACGATTAATAAATGCTGTAGAAGTATTGTTCATTCTTAGTTCATGTTAACTAATGACCCTTATTGTAAAGTGTTAGCGATGTTACTAGCAACACTAGCGGTACTCCTCACCAGAAGGCCGATAGACGTCAGGCTGATGTTCAGCTCCTGGTTCTGGAGCCCAAAGCTGCCGGCTACATCCACCACAATTTGGAGGCACATGCAAGGCATTGTGGGTAGGAAGTCGGTCACCACCAACTGCAGGCACTGGAACGCTGTTCGTATGAGGGATTCACTGTGGAATGAAAGATCAACTCTCCAAGATCAACACTTTAAATGTGACTTTTGATTGCTAGCTGTTAATTAGCTAAATCATAAAGGCTTCCTTGGTCAACTGGCTTCACAAGAGCCTGGTCCGTCGTGACGCTGTTTGACCAGGGACGTGTTCAGGATTGACCAAGCACCAACTAGTATAACCCAACCAGGACCAATGAAAATATTGAAATTCTTTCAGATTTTGGGGACATTTACTGTTGTTCGGTACATTTTCATGGGCAATATCTAGTTTCTGACGAAAGCTGCTTGAACAACAAAGTGGTGTGATGTCACTTCAAACAAAACTAGGCAAAAACTAAGTTTGTTAGAAACTTTTTTGGGAAAGTTTGCTCTGGCTGGCTAACTACCATTAGTCTGGTTTAAATCTGTTTAAAACTGCCTATTTCACTTAATGTCAATTGTTCTGCCTCTTTCTGTTGTCGTTTATTTATTTCTGGTGCTTTTAAATGTCTTATGTATCCCTGTACGGCGTCCTTGAGTGCCGAGAAAGGCGCCTTTAAATAAAATGTATTATTATTATTATTAGTCAGTGGCGATTACACAAAAAACTTTGCCACGAGTATATTGGGGTCTGTCTGGTGCTCTTCACGTGGACTAAAATGACCAAATTAGTTTTTAATTTTAATAAAATGAAAGCACTATGTTTTAGTTTGATAATGTTTTTATTTAATATTTTGTATTTTCAGGGGATTTTACGGTACTATGTTATATATATGCAGTAATTAAGGGAATCAGGGCGGGCTTTATACGATGATGGACAGATGATCAACCGTAACGTAATCATCCACGTCACCAAAGAGCGCTTGGGTTGAGTTCGTTTACAACAAAGATGGCCGCCGCTGGAGAACTGAGATGTGTAGATTCAGCCGTCGCGTCTGTTATAGGAGATGTAGACAGCGCATTCATTTTAAAAGAGGAACAGAGAACCGCGATCAAGGCATTTGTCGATCCAATCGAGTACAGAGGCATTTTCTTTCCTGGTTCGGTTGAAACGCCCCATAATCACAGCCCAATGGAGCCGCATCAGACTCGTGCTGACGAGATAGGTCCGACTGCAGAACCGCAGAACCATACGTCATAGCAGTGTGAGGACGACAGCGCTAGCCTAACAGTATGATGCCGGAAGTGGGCGTGGCCTGGCATTGCGCTACTTCTGTGTTTTAGAACGTTTCAAAGTTTAAAACAATGCTATTATAAATATTTGTTTAAACGATTTAATTAAAGATATGTTTAAGATGTGTGTATATATATATATATATATATATATATATAGTTGTGTGTATATATATATATATATATATATACACAGGTGAAACTCGAAAAATTAGAATATTGTGCAAAAGTTCATGTAATTCAGTAATTCAAATTAAAAGGTGAAACTAATATATTTAGTATATATAACTATACATATGCATGATTATACTTTTCAGAGGGCCGACATTTCTGTATTTAAAATCCTTTTTTGTATTGATTTCATGTAATATTCTAATTTTCTGAGATTTTAAATTTGGGGTTTTCATAATCTGTAAGCCATAATCATCAAAATTATAACTTTTGCACGATATTCAAATTTTTCGAGTTTTACCTGTAGATATATATATATATATATATATATATATATATATATATCAAATATTATAAAATATAATAATTATTTGTCCTATTAACAAAAGACAATATACTACTATTAAAAATGCTTTTCAATTCAATCAAAAGTTCAAGCTTTGTTTTCATTTTATTATTATTTTTGTTTAAAGCTTTGTTCAATTTATATTGTTAATCATTTGACACAACAAATGGATAAAGTATAATTTTAACTTTTAAAAAACTATTAACGTTTGTTAATACTCAACCATTTCACAACTAACAAATTTGTTTTTCATAGACCAAACACAACATAATTCTATGGTGGACTGAAACAAAAATTATTAATTAAATACAATTATTTTTTTCCTCTGAAATGGCAAAAGCATCACACACAGATGTACCTGCTCTAAATAAATAATAGTAATTAAATAAAAATACAAAATCGAACTAAATAAAATAAATTATAAAAAACAAAATCAAACCAAAGAAAATAAATCGTATAAAAGCGAGTGTCATGACGAAAGGCACCTCAGGAATCATCAGGATTAACTCCATGTGTATGGAGTTTTGATTTATTTAGTTTATTTGTCACTTGAGAATTATTGTTAAATGTGTGCCTGCATAACTTTAATAAGATTTATTTTCTTTGGTTTGATTTTGTTTTATATAATTTATTTATTTTATTTATTTTGATTTTATATTTTGATTTAATTACTATTATTTATTTGGAGCAGGTACAGCTAGTGTGTCATGCTTTTGCTATTTCAGAGGGGGAAAAAACACATTTCATTTAAAAAATGCTTTTCAATTAAATCAAATGTTCAAATGCTAAACCTTTTTTTATTTTTATTATTTTGTTTGTTTTAAGCTTTGTTCAAGTTATATTGTTAATCATTTGACACAAAACAGAAGCATAAAGTATCATTTTAACTTTTAAAAAAGGCTACATTCCCTGTCTTTTGTTAATAGGACAAAACATAGTTATTATATTTTATAATATTTGATATATATATATATATATATAGGCCTATCTCTTAAATATATATTTTTAATGAAATCGTTAAAAAATATATACATAACAGCATTGTTTTAAACTTTGAAACGTTCTAAAACACAGAAGTAGCCTGAAGTAGCGCAATGCCAGGCCACGCCCACTTCTGGCATCATACTGTTAGGCTGGCGCTGTCGTCCTCACACTGCTATGACGTATGGTTCTGCGGTTCTGCAGTCGGTTACTATTGGTGCTGACTAGCATCTGAGTATAACGACGTCAGGCTACTGAAAATGAGCTTTCAGTAAGATTTAGTTTGGGCTGCAGTACCAAATGCTTCCACTAGATGAAATTCATCTCCCATTCGTTTCCAATGCGCTAATTTTTGACTGCGAACAATACAAGTGTGTCTATATTACTCAGGACCAACCTTTAACCTTTTCGAATCATGATTTGTTTGTGTCCACATAGCAAGTGCCTCACCCCTGGTCGTTTCGGATCGCTCCGATGACCCCCAGTACCAGAGGCCATCCCGGTCCGAGACTGTCTCCCTGGTTCTGTAGGATCTGCAGGACACACTCCAGCTGCTTCTGTCGGATATCGGCGTGAAGGACGTTGGAGAGCTCCTTCAACGGGTTCAGGAGCAGCAGCTGCAAACGCTGAGGAGGACAGGGGATTGGTTAAGTGCTGTCCAATCAATAACCGAAATCAAACTATTGAAGTAGGGCTGGGAATCGAAAACCCTGAGGTCAGGAATCGGATACTTGTTTGAAATTAAAATTTAGATTCCTCTTATTGATTACTTTGTGAGCATTTCAACACAACTTTAAACAATTCAAGCGAGAGACGACTCGCTGTTTTCTATGCTGCACACACACACATTTAATGCGCGCTCACAGTGATTTTAATGTGATTTTAAACTATTTTGCACCGTTTTACATCCAAAACGTGCACACAGAAAAAGTGATTTTAAAACATCCAAGCCCGAGACGCTTTCAGTGCTAAAGGTGTGTGTAACTATATTGTGCAGCTCTTAAAGAGACAGAACTAATATTCCTGCTGCCGTCTCTATAATAACACTAATCAAACAGAGAAAATTCACTCGTTCTTGACTGAATAGCTTTTGTAAGTATATTTGTAATGTATATTTTGCAGTGTTATTTTACATTTGATTACAGTTTCTGTACCTGAACACCAAAGAAATCTTAAAACACTGTTTATTTCAATCGTATCTTTGTTCAGTTGTATCTATTTGTTGCGATTGCTAATTTATTATCTGTTCTTTTTTAATTACTGAGTGTTTGCTTGTCTTTAATAATGCTTGAAATTTATATTAGTTGGGTGTTTTTCTATGGTGTTTTGAACCACAGGCAAAAGTTTCTTGTGTAAGTGTTGTTCAGCCTGTTGATTTATATTCAAGATATACAATTAAATGTTTTGCAATAAGACTAAATGTGAATGATATCCAAGTTCTTTTTTTTGTTTGTTTTTCAGGGTGTCTACAGATGACAAGTTCAATTTAAGACTTTTTAAGACCTTTTTAATGCCACTTTGAATGAAATGTAAGACTGTGATGGAAAATACACATTATATTACAAACGTATATGTAATATTAAATGTTTAACCTAAGTAATTAAAGTAATTTAATATTAACTACTTGTTTATTGAACTAAAATCAATGTTAGATTTTGCAATCGTGAGAATATTCAGCAAAATAGCTCCCGTCATGTTATGTTACTCAACTATATCATATGTTATAAATAAAAAAACTCCACATTGTGAATGTTTACCTCAGTATGTTTGTTCTGTGAGTTATGATGTGTGCTGTTATGCTCGTTTGTTTTGATTTCTCACTATAAAGTCTCTCACAGAGACAGGCGAGTCTCAACAGCGCTACCAGAAACACATTATCATTATCAATCGCTGTTTATGTAATAAAATCAGAATCATTCTCGCGATTCGATGCGCCGCTGGTTATTTGACGGACGTTGTGTCCGTCAGACTGGAGACATTTTAGCGGTAATGTGACCAGAAATATTTAAGACCCATCGAATCTGAATTTTCACCTTATTGGAATCGAAATTAGGAATCGGAATCGATAAGCAGAATCGAAATCATTAAAATTCACACGATACCCACCCCTACTCTGAGGACGCAGAAGATCTGACTGAATTATCACCTGGTTTTGGGACAGCGGTGGCTCATGTTTGTAGGACAGTCCAGCTTTGATCAGCGAGGTAATGGCCTCTGCACCCCATTCCCTCATACGAGTGTTAGGATGCTGACACACCTGACAAGATAATGGCATAACAGGCTTCATCTTCTGATGCAATATATCATTTCGTTATGATTTTGTGGTGAAGTATGGGCGCATCGGCTGAGATTCACCCATTAATGAAATACAGACAGACAAATCAAACATTGCAAATGGAGGGTGACAACACAAAGGTGGGCAAAATAACATCATTAACACAAAAAAAAAAGCAAAGCAATAGATATTGGTTATAAAAAATATATATATAATTTGTAAAAAACATTTATTATGCAGACTGATTTGCAAAATATTCATAAATTATATTTGATTTGTTTAAGATCACAAGAGGAGATATTGTTTATTGGATTTGGAGTGTGTAGATCACAGATCGGTGTGTTTTGCGAATATAAGCAGATGATTAAATAATCTCAAAATAATGTGACCATCTTGAATCACAGTCAGAAAGTCCTTTCACATTATTTGCATTAACATTCCCCAATGCATTAAACTCTATAGGGCAAAACGTCAAGCGTTTATTTAAACTTCTGACTTCTGTTATTTCTACTCGATTACTTTTGACTTTCTGAAATTGCACAACACAAAGCTGAAGGTATAAAATGACATTCTGAAAATAATTATCATATAAAACAGCCGTTCTGTGATCTGGGTCTCTGGGCCCTGATGCGAGTCATGTGACAGCTAAGATCATCATGAAAACAAAAACATCTGATTAACACAACAACAAAAACATGAAATGAAACAAAAGGAGAGTCATTACTCAAAGAGAAGGATTTCTGAAGTTAAAAAGAAAGTTCGGCACTTACCTTCTACAAAACAGACATGTCGCAAAAGACAGAGAAGGGAAAAAGACGGAATAAGACAACATGAGGACATCGTGCTTTAGCATATATATATATATATATATATATAATATATATATATATATAACTACAGAAGAAGTGTGAGTACAGCAGACAAGGACAGCAAGTACAGAGCACAGAGTTTAGAGCAGCCCGCCAAATATTAAATATTAACATTTCCATCTCGTTACAACAGTTATTTACTGTAATTAGTTGTGCTGATATTAGTCAAATTTGTTTCAGCAATATTATTAGTATTTCGAGACCCTGAAACAATATTATTAGTGATTAGAGGCAAGCTGAAGTACACAGGGGAAAAAAAGCCAAATTGTATAAAATATAAATACAACCAATGGAAAAAGACACCTTTAAAACTAAAAATAAATAAATAAATATAAATAAAATAAAATGTCACCAAATTGTATAAACATAATAAATAAATATAAAATATAAAAATAAAATAAAAATAGACAGACAACTTTAAATATATTGTATAAATAAATAATAAAATGATTTAAATTAAGAAATAATATTATGCATAATAAATAAATATAGAAAATAAGCAAAACTAATGGACAAAGACGACTTTAAAGCAAAACAGTATTTATAAATAAAGAACTAATATACATAATAAGTCAATTAAATAATTTTAATAAATTATATATACCAGCAGATAATAAATAAATATAAAGACAAATTGACAGACAACTTCAAAACTAAACAATATAAATAAAAAATTAAGCAAAATAAATAGATAAATACAACTTCAAAACAATAAATATGTATAAATAATTAAAATAAATGATATACATAATAAATAAAATAAAAACATTAAATAAATAAATATAAAACAAATGGTCAAAGGCAACTTCAAGCCTTAAACATGATTGAATTTCAAAACGAGGAGCTGCATAGTTCTGATTGGCCCCGGGTCTCACCTCCAGTAGATGAGCCGTCAGAGGCCTCCAGAGAATCTCGATCCGGTCCATGTTCACCAGTCCGGTCTCTAACAGTTTGGCCACCGCAAACAGAGACGGCTCCTGAGCGAGGAGATCAGAGAGATATAAAACATGAGGAAATTAATCTGCAGTTAGCTTCAGCATCATTACCGCCCTGAGACGTATTGTGTATGTGTTGCTTTCTCTCTCTATCTCTCTCTTTGTCCTGCCCTTTCTTTTACATGATTGGATGAGCCCAAAGTGATCTCCAGATGAGATTGGTGCTAATGGGACCAGAGGTGCAATAAATGCTCAACCTGTGATGTCTAGTGGTGTGCAGATCGAGGCTTCGTATGGACACGAACACTGAAACAGCTGAAGCCAAATCTAGCACCCCTAGTGGTCAGAACAGTGTAAATGCAACAAAACATGCATAAAAACACCTTTTACAAATCTATTGCACATTTTTTATTGAAAGTAAAACATTTCAAAATGCAATTTATGAGATTATCAAGTGTCTAGATGTGCTTGTACCAATTGTCAGGGTTTGTTCTGTTCGTTCTATGATTGGTTCAGCTAAACAGGCCAACAAGAGACTTTTAACTTCCATTATTCATTTTAATAATACTAATGTCTAGTTAAAACGTCTACAAATGTATAAAACTGATCAGAGATCAGGTAAACCCCACAGACACTTCTCAGTGACTCGTGGGTTGACAGAGATCATCGCCCCCAGCGGTGAACCATTGAAATTTACAAGTGTTTTAAAACAGTTATGACGTAATGAAGCCTCGTTTACTGAAATCACGCGACTCTGGCAGTTTGATACACGCTCCGAACCATTGATTCGGATAAATATTCGTAAAGGCTTTTCAAAGTGTTTTTTTAAGTGAAATTGCCATCTCTAGTGAGTTGCACATGTGCTGTTGTGTGTTTGCTAGTGTGTTGCTACTGCTAGCTTGCCTGTCGTGTGAATTTGGCTTTGAGTTTCTCATTTCCTTTTTGTATATTTTCTAAAATATTGTAAATATCTTGTCTGTTATTGTCTGTTAGGAGTTTGTTTGGTGTTTGTTTGTTGCTTTGGCCTTTCCTCATCCCTGAAGTTGTGCTTTCATTTGTGGTTTTATAAATAAAAGTGTATAAAAGGATCTTTGGTTGCCAATTCCAGTGTACAGGTGAAACTCGAAAAATGAGCATATCGTGCAAAAGTTTATTTATTTCAGTAATTCAACTTAAAAGGTGAAACTAATATAATATATAGACTCATTACATGCAAAGTGAGATATTTCAAGCCTTTATTTGTTATAATTGTGATGATTATGGATTACAGCTTATGGAAACCTTTTCAAAATATTCTAATTTTGAATTTGGGGTTTTAATATCTGTAAGCCATAATCATCAAAATTATAACAAATAAAGGCTTGAAATATCTCACTTTGCATGTAATGAGTCTATATATTATATTAGTTTCACCTTTTAAGTTGAATTACTGAAATGAACTTTTGCACCATATTCTAATGTTTCGAGTTTCCCCTGTATGTTGCGGCCTCAACGACGCACCTTGTTGTTTCCGTAAGCCATTTCCATGGCCTCCATGGATAAAGAGCACAGGGCGTTTATCAGGTGATGCAGAGAGACGTCGTCCAGGTATCTACAATCACACACACCATTTCATTCTACAATTGATCTATGGATGGAAACGCTACTTATCGAGACAATAGCTTGTTTTCATATGACGTCACGCCACTGCGTTGCCATGGCGCGAAATGCAAATGGCGGGCAGGAAGTGATTTGCTGTATTTAGAAAGCACTATAACAAACTCAAAATGCCTATGTTTTGTGTCGTTTATGGTTACTTAAATCGATCAAACCACGAGGAGTTTTTATCGTGTACCAAAAGTTGTTGTTCATAAGGGGGGAAATGCAAGAAATTGACCGAAAAACTCCAGAAAAACGGCTTGCAAACCTATGTCTGCGGTCGGGAGGAGCCGAATGGGAAAATGCCCGTGTGTGCAGTGATCACTTCGTCAAAGGTGAGTTAATACAACTTAAGTGACTGTTTGTGTAACGTGTAACGTTTCCGAACTTTGCAAAGTCAAAGTATGTCTGTAAGACGAGGTAGTTGCTGATATCCACCGCCTCGATGGCAGGAAAATCTTTAAATTCAGTTGAAAAATCGCTCCTCTTCATAACGTAAGGATCACGTTCAACATATATTTGATTTTTTTGTTTATATCTTTCTCTTGTAATAGCGTGTAAAGTAGTAGAGTACGGACTTTCCTCCATCTCGTCCATTGCACTCTTCACTCCCTGCCCTCCATCTGAATTTCGCGCGTCATCATCATAATCACGTGACTGAAACCCAGCTATTGCACTCTTTAAAAATGTACTTGATATTAAGTATCAGTGACATCATGCACTATATGCATTATTCTGACGTTCTTACTGTGAGCTTTCAAAGAGTCTGGAAAGGATGTTTGATATGACGGGTAGATCGGTCATCACCGCCGTGGTCAAAACCTGCGACAGAAAAGAAATAAACTCAATTTTTTACTCGGCATTTCATAGTATTGCATATTATTATTAATATTGTTGGCTCTTTTGGATAAGCGCATGAATGTAAACATTTGGCCTGTGGAAAAGCGGCGTCTCATTACGTTGCCAATATTTTTGGACTTGTTTAAAGGCACCTGAGCATTTCTGAGCAATATCTTCACATAACAAGGATGAAAAAATGCTGATGACTCAGAAAGTGCCTATGATCTGCAAAAATAACACTGAGGGTGTCTACAGATATAAACAAGTTCAATTTAAGACTTTTTAAGACCTTTTTAATGCCACTTTGAATGAAATTTAAGACTGTGATGGAAAATACACATTATATTACAAACGTATATGTAATATTAAATGTTTAACCTAAGTAATTAAAGTAATTTAATATTAACTACTTGTTTATTGAACTAAAATCAATGTTACATTTTGCAATCGTGAGAATATTCAGCAAAATAGCTCCCGTCATGTTATGTTACTCAACTATATCATATGTTATAAATAAAAAACTCCACATTGTGAATGTTTACCTCAGTATGTTTGTTCTGTGAGTTATGATGTGTGCTGTTATGCTCGTTTGTTTTGATTTCTCACTATAAAGTCTCTCACAGAGACAGGCGAGTCTCAACAGCGCTACCAGAAACACATTATCATTATCAATCGCTGTTTATGTAATAAAATCAGAATCATTCTCGCGATTCGATGCTTCGCTGGCTAAAACTTTCCAGGGCCTTGAATTTTTTTTTCTTCAGATTCACAAACTTTCAAGCGTTTCAAGGACCCGTGGGAAGCCTGTTTTTACCGTGCTGGGACCCTCCACGGCCCGACCGGGTTTCAGGACTCCTCCAACGGCCGGTTTCAGGCCCAGAATCCACACCAGATGCTTAGAGGGAAGAGGAGATGAATGAATATGAGTATTGAATATGAATACAATCAGGCATGTCATCAGCAAAAAACAAACAAAAAAAAGATGGAAAACCTGAACTCCCTCTTTATTTTTCGAATAAAGAAATATGGTACTATTGCATTAATATTGTACTATAAAATAAAAAAGGCCTTTATTAACAATATTATTTTTTAATTGTAATTTATTCAGCTTTTGTATTGTCTTCCGGTTCACACGTCTTCCAGTGTCTTCCAGACACACGTCAGCAGCGTCTTACGTCAGCAGCGGCACTGAACGCGGATCCACAACAGAACCAGAATACACACACACACACACACACACACACACACACACACACACACACACCAGACACACGTCAGCAGCGTCTTACGTCAGCAGCGGCACTGAACGCGGATCCACAACAGAACCAGAATACACACACACACACACACACACACACACACACACACCAGACACACGTCAGCAGCGTCTTACGTCAGCAGCGGCACTGAACGCGGATCCACAACAGAACCAGAATACACACACACACACACACACACACACACACACACACACACACACACACACCAGACACACGTCAGCAGCGTCTTACGTCAGCAGCGGCACTGAACGCGGATCCACAACAGAACCAGAATACACACACACACACACACACACACACACACCAGACACACGTCAGCAGCAGCACTGAACGCGGATCCACAACAGAACCAGAATACACACACACACACACACACACCAGACACACGTCAGCAGCAGCACTGAACGCGGATCCACAACAGAACCAGAATACACACACACACACACACACACACACCAGACACACGTCAGCAGCGTCTTACGTCAGCAGCGGCACTGAACGCGGATCCACAACAGAACCAGAATACACACACACACACACACACACCAGACACACGTCAGCAGCAGCACTGAACGCGGATCCACAACAGAACCAGAATACACACACACACACACACACACACACCAGACACACGTCAGCAGCGTCTTACATCAGCAGCGGCACTGAACGCGGATCCACAACAGAACCGGAAGACAATACAATGCTGGAGAAAGTCCTAGTTTTGGTTATTTTTGGACCAAAATGTATTTTCGATGCTTCAACACATTCTAACTAACCCACTGATGTCACATGGACTACTTTGATGATGTCTTTATTTCCTTTCTGGACAAGGACAGTATACCGTACATACATTTCCAATGGAGGGACAGAAAGCTCTCGGACTAAATCTAAAATATCTTAAACTGTGTCCCGAAGATGAACGGAGGTCTGACGGGCTTGGAGCGACATGAGGGCGAGTCATTAATGACATCATTTTCATTTTTGGGTGAACGAACCCTTTAATGACTGGTCAAACTTGTACCTGTAGTGTTGCTAAAACCAGCTGCCATGAGGTTCCCAGATAAACACCGTGACAGTGCGCCAGATTCAGCAGCGTCCGCATGCACTGGATGTTCTTCGCTGTGAGCTGACGGACACACAGAAGGATTAAGGAGTTTTAGTTTGCATGGAAAAGCATTTAGTTTCACTGTAAGAAACATGAACGTGTGATTTACCACAACGGTGCCCTGCGGCTGAGCGGTGAGCGGCTGACCGACCGCTACAACCTGCTGGTGCGACTCACTCGACGGACTGACCATCTGCACACTCTGACCCTGGATGGAGTACACTACACACACACACACACATTTATATACACAAACACCCTAAAGCTTGCAGCTAATAGCTCAAACAGAACAGCTAGCATCATCACACACCTAGAGATGGGCATGGTTGTATTTCAGTTAGCCTAATAGATGTTTTGATTTGCATTGAGAGAAGATCTTATGGTAATCTCTAGGTATGGTGAAGGGTGTGTGATGATGTGGGGATATTTTAAGGATGCATAGTGTCCCGGATCCATGAAATAACTGGCCTTTAAAAATAAAAATCTGCCCCTCTATGGGAATATAACATGGGGTGTCCTGACTTATGCACCCCTGTATTTTAAGGAAGAACATTTACTTAAAGCTGCAGTCCGTATCTTTTCCTCTTTGTCGCCATCTCTCTGTTCGAAATCTGTAACTGCAGTGATTCGCGCAATTATTATCTTTACGTGGGTTGTAAATCGGCATGAAACAGCGCGGATGAACACAGTGCTTTGAGGCGAGTGCTGCTGTCAGTCACCGCGCTGTGTGGATACTGGCATACAGAATCACAGATTCACTTTTTGAAAGTTTGACCAACATAAGAATTTTCATAAGAAAATGTCTTCTGAACAAGTAAGTAACATCCATTTTTGTTCTGACCAACTAAGGGGGAAAAAGCATTCGACATGATAAGCTTCGTTAGATTTAATCAACGAGATTTACAGCAACCGTGCAAATTATAGCCTACTTTGTTCTCAAATTGTTCATGTTAACAACATCAGCATTGCGTGACTAATGTTAAATTTAATGTGTTTTATGGTTACCTGTGTAGTTCAGAATTCATATTCTCCATAATAGCAAAACGAGAAAGGCACAACAAAGGAAACTCCATAACTGTGTGAATTAAGAAAACGTACTGTTACACGATTGAACTATTGAAATGTCTTACTTGTTCAGCAGAAAAAAGCCGTCTCTTCTTCCGTTTTGAACCCCTTCAAAACACGGAGTTCACGCACTTTTCAAAAGCCCCGCCGATGTTTAAATCCTTGTGTTCGCATGAGACGGTTTCTTTCTCTTTCTCTTTCCACCTTAAATCCGAAGTACGAAGTCTTTTGGGTTTTATAACTGCTGAATCTCCAGTTGACACTGATGATTGTTGTTTGGATCTTTCTGGATGCCATAAGTTTAATCATGTAAAGTGCTGCGAGAAAAGCCTATACATCTCTACATATCGTCACGCGCAGTATAGCCGGCTAGCCGAAACTCCTTCTTTATGTGTACGGGTGTGACGTCATGACCCAAAGACATGCTCGAATTTCCCGCGGAAACCCACCAGTACCACTGGAATTAAAATCATTATTACAAGCTAACCGTTTTGAATCTAGCTATGGCAAGCAGATAGTTTTGACCACTGGCAGAATATGTTTTTTTTAATATAATTATTTTTGATTATTTTTAACTTAAAAAAGTTACGGACTGCAGCTTTAATTAAGACATTAAGATCAATTTCCAAAAGATGATTTTGAATCCTCTTTCTAGTCAACTTTAGCATGGGTGTGTTCACTTATGTATAGTAATATAATTATATTACTTATTAAATTGGTCAATGATTTTGACCAAAACTGAAAGTTCATAACCTGCTTATGAATATGTGATTATTGCGTGTTGTGTGTGATGTGGACATCCGCATGCGCTGGCTCTCGTACCTTTATTGGCGAGGTTGGTGGTGTTGCTGCTCAGGATGGTGAGAGCGTAGTGAGGAGGGAGAGAGGCTTTACAGATCGCAGTGATGAAAGCGTCCCGCGGCGTCACCAAACCCAGACGGCCACACAGAGACGCCACACACAACTCCGCCTTCAGGATGTTCTCTGTGGCCGCCTCGTCCGTACTGACACACACACACACACCGAACATCAT